ATCACCCCTATTATCTCCATTCTGCATACTATTGTCTAGTATGCTTTTATTGTCTGCTTCAGTTTGCGCAGGTGTGTGTGTGTTGCAGACTGCCACCCCCTGTCGCTGCTCTCCTGGTCCCCTGGAGAGGGATTGGCCCCGGGGAAGGAGGCGGAGTCACTGGCCATGTGCTGGCGTCTTACACGCGATTCGCTGACACTTAGACATACAGCTCTCCTTCTGTTTTTCTCACTCAGTCTATTTTCATTTCTCCCTCATTCTCTTTTAATCACTCATTTTCTCTCCTGCGTCAATGTGCATGAGAAGCAAAACACACACACACACACACACACACACACACACACACACACACACACACACACACACACACACACACACACACACACACAAAGAGATGACAAGATTATAATGAGAATGCTGCATGGGAAATTAGGCATTAATAGTGTGATTATGTGCATAAGGATTTTGTGTGAGTGATGAGATGTACGTTCATAGCCAGGACTAATATTCAGGGATAAAACAGAGGTGGACGTCAGCACAATAACGGTGATGTAATTAGGAGACTCTGAGGGGCTCTACCCAGCGTGCTTTGCAGTCAGGCCTTCTGCAGTCCTCATGAATATTGAAGAGGAAGCGCTGGGCGCTGCAATGTGTTGTGACTGAGAAGATCTGCAGCTCCTGTAAGAGGACAGAGAGAAAGAGAGAATGAAATGGAGATGCTTGACAGAAGAGGGAGTGCACTGAGAGTAGAGGAAGATAGAAATAAAAAGGAGTGATCTGTTGAATGGAGGGATGGGATCTTAATACAATTGATGTTTTTTATTATTGTGTTACTAAACAGATACTTACAACTCTCAATTCTGATTGGAATTGGTTGGCATCCATAAAAGCCTATTATTATTATTATTATTAAACGCATCCAAAAATCAACAAGGTAATGGTTATTACATTATTTTGCAATATTTAAATAATACATTATTTTAATGCAGTCATTCATTATTTTAATTAAGTCCCCAATATTTCCTATGTTTACTAAAGTAATATATATATATAAATAGTTATATAAGACGCCAATGTTCAATAAGTGCAGTATTGTTGTTATTATTATAAACATTTATTGAACATTGATGTCTTATCATATTGCTATTATATATACACATTGTTATTATGGTTATTATTAATATTAATGGTAATAATGATACCAACAATATTATTATTACTGTTATAAATGTAATCATTTATTGAATATTGGTGTCATATTATATTGCTGTTGCCACTTTTTTTTAATATAAATAAAAAGCAATAAGCAATTATTACTTTACTAAACAGAACATATTGGGGATTTTAAAATGAGAACATGAATAACTGACACTGTATTGAAATAATTTAGCATTGTGGTCTGACTGTCAGCTTTCTGACATTTGGATGTGCGTTTGCTTTCACCAAATTTAGAAATGGGCATCCAGATCATCTTTCAGTGTGAGCAATAGTGTAGTCATTACCTGGAACTGAGATCTGTGTCCAAGTTTCTTTGTGTTGGTTTTTGTCTTTATCTCTGTGTTTTAGTAATTTATGTCAGGGGATAAATCTAAGAGAAAGTCTGTTCTGTTTTTAATGGATTGCAGACACAGCAGCCTCACATACACATGAATATTTCAGTGGTTCCATTTTAGCAGGGTAAAGAAACAGGAAGTTGCTTATACTGATGCAGGTTATCATTAGTTCCTAAAGGGTTTCATTTTCTTACATCCTAAATGAGAGTATGAGATATGTCAGTCTTGATTTCAATGGCTGAATTGTTTCATTTAAGAGTCATTGTGATTCCTAAATAGTTCAAGAATGAATCCACAAATGATTGTTTTGTTTTAGAGACATGAAAGCAGCTCTTGATTTATACAAGATGCTGAGGCTACACAAGAGTATGTTCCAAGAAATAATACAAGCACACGAAACAAGAATACACACAATTATGAACACTGAGTGTCTATCAATATTTGATCAACTCCCACTTAAGCGTAGCCTTTGGTCTGTTTATTGATTTTGCATTCTCTAGGTCACGACTGGATCTGTTCGGCTGCCAGTGTTTTCAGGGAAATTGTTGTGTATGAAGAACAAGAGAAACGGCCTTGTTTTCCAAAAGCTGTTTTGTGATAAACAAGCAACATGCCCCTGTTAATGTGTACAGTCTTTTATGCAAAGTAAGTATTATTGTTACAATACCAAAATTTCAGTAGTCTATACCAAAAGAAATATTTCTTGATTCCATAGCAAAAACTAATATCTATGGTACAGACTTTTAAACAACTAACAACAACTTAAAATTCAGTTTGTTCACCACGCAAAACTATCAGAAGACTTAAATGGACATTTTTTATTATTTCTGAGCTTGATGGCCCCAATCCACTTCCATTATATTGAAAAGAGCAATCAGAATAGTCTTCAAAAATTCATCTTTTTAATTTTTGATACCATTAATTAATATTTAAAATATTATATTTTAGTAATCGAATTTTTTATAGTTTATTTTATTTTATTTTTCACCTTTTCTGCCCCACAGAGGAGTGAAAGTGAGTAAATGATGACATAATTTAAATTTTTGCTTGAACTGCCCCTTTAAGAGATGAACAGCTTTAAAAACTGTAAAATTGTAAAACTGTAATTCCAACTATTTATTTAGAATCTGCTCTACTTGGCCTGTTATGGATTTTAGCATTGTCATAGTCATGTTAGCCGATAATAATAGTGTGCAGTAATTATAGATCTTTATTTATAGATCTGCAGTACGCTGTGACCTTCTAGGATTGTTTTACTAGGCTTTATATTTCTGCTTTCTGACGTTGCATGTATAAAGCGGCTGCTGCACTGGCACTGCCTGACCATTCAATCAAACCAAAGGTATTGAGATCTAACATTTTGTGTGTGTTTATTTAAGTGTGCAACTGTGCGTGAAAGTCACAGTTGCATGTGTGAGTGTGTGTTATAAATGGCTACCCTAGCACCACTATGTAGGTTTCTCTTTCTGTAGAAGTGGGTCTCAAAGCAAACCCTGGAGGGTTCTTTACTGCGATTCATCATTCTCAGCCTACTGGTGTCGAGCTCCAAATGACGTCTTTGTCACTATTTTTAGCGAGTGTGTGAGAATGTAAAGGTGTGTATGTGAGAAGCCAGACAGGTTGTAAAATGTGACCGTGACCCTTTTCTATTCACTGGTTATATATCCCTCATAATTACACCGGCAGATGATGTCATCACTTAACTTTCCGAACTGCATGTTAATCTGAATCTGCCCTCGTGATACATGAGGGATTATGCAAAATTAATTAGTTGACTGATCTTGTACTTCACATAGATGGGAAATGTGACGTTACACTGACAGTTGCCAAGAGGAACTCGATTCTATATGTGTGTCTGGGTTTTGCTCGCCTCTCCTTCACAATAGTCGTCTGGATTTCGTCCTCTGAGGCTAGGCCTGGCGCTTAATTGCTTTGTCATAAGTAAATGATGATCAGTTCCACTGATGTGTGTCATCTAAATTCCCGATTTAATATACAAACGTCATTTCGATCAAAATCAGGCCAAAACAAAGTTCATTTGGTGTTTGTTTCAGGAGTTTGAAACAGCTAACCAAAGCAAACTTCCCGGAAAAGTTAGCTCTGGCTGGTAAACACCTTCAAACTACCATTAGTAGTCTATTTGGTAATATTGAAGTGATGTATATAGTACTCCTCATGCAGAAGTCACTTTCAAACCAAGCAGCTTTATGTTGGTCAACTCGATGAATCCACCTGACCATCTTGAACCACCTGTTGTGAAATCTGCATGGCGAAATCTTTCACCCTCCCTCAAGCAAAATTCCCATTCTCATGGATTCCTATTTAAATGATTGGATTTCATCCAGCTGTTTTTAGTAGCCGCTCATACTCTGCAACGGTATCTGACTCTGAGGTGGCAAATAACTGCACTCTCATTGGTTGTTGCAGCACTGTGTCACAGCTTATTTGCATATTAAGCTCAATTAAACTCAACTGAATGATGTCTAGTTGCTTAAGATAAATATATATATATAGTTTACTGCATTGGAATAACCACCCAGGCATCATATATTTGTTTTTTATTGGATATTTGTTGTGTGCAATGTCACTCATATTTTGTGGGTTTATGTGACAGAAAACCAGAACAATTTAGGTCACATAATTTGTTTTTCCCTCTGCGCCTTCATATGCTTAGAGTCAACGTGGTCCCTGCATCAGTAGTTGTCACACTCTAGTCTAGTCGTATGCTTTTGAGAATGTTGAAAATGATGTCATCGTTCTCCTAGCAATTGCTAAGCAACCAGTCTTGGAGTGCGCCAAGAGCTGGAATCCCTTTAATGCGACTGGGTTTCTGCATTCACCCTCTCAAGACTGAAACGAAAATATGGCGTTGTTGTGTAATTCTCCCTCTTTTCCCTGGGCCTTTGCAAAGGTCAATAGCCGGTTTCTTGTTATAGCACAATTTTGTGTTGCATTCAAAAAGATTGGAAGCATTTAAGAAAATTAAAAACATTTTCAGGTGCTCATAGTCATACTTGAAGTTTAAAGGGATACTCCACCGTTTTTTCATATTAAACTATGTTATTCCCTTAACTAAGACGAGTTGATACATACCTCTCTCGTCTCAGTGCGTGCACTTTGGTCGCTTCTCTGCTTGGATCCTAATGAATGAACTGGGCTAAGTTAAGTGCTATCAAAGTGTCTCGCGCGCCAGAGCGATTGAGTGCACGCACTGAGACGAGAGAGGTATGTATCAACTCGTCTCTTAGTTAAGGGAATAACGTAATTTAATATGAAAAAACAGTGGAGTATCCCTTTAACATTACTCACTTAACGGAGCACCATTTCATGATCTATTTGTGTTACCATTGCTTCCACAGTTTCGGTGTTTTCACCTGCCCATATGTGTCTCCGTGTGTGTCTGTGTGTATTAACATGCTCTGTCTTTGTGGTGTTGGTGTCTTCTAGGCTCATGTGGTTCAGCGCTGGCTTGTGCATCAGGACAGTAGTTTGAGTGGAGAGGGTTCGTCGGAGCCTCAAGGTGGAAAATGGCACTTTGATGGAAGAGTAAATATCTTAGTACTGCCTCTCAACACTTCCCTCTTTCTGGAAAATCCTGTGTGTTGGTGTGGCTTCTTAAACGTTTCTGTCTGTGGTTCTCTTGTGGTTGTGTAGCTGGTGGAAGTTCTTGTGTTTGAATGTTGTGACGTGGCTAATAACTTTAGTTAGCTTCGCTGGTGTTCCTCCTGTAGTGTCTCTTTATCTTCCTCTCATTCTAAATAGCTCTTATTGTGTTTTGTGTATGACTGTTCATATTGCTAACATTAGATTCTGTGTGTGTGATTAAGTGGGTGTTTGTTTAGGTGTGTGGGGTTTTTTTGTGTATCAGATGGTTTTTGCTGTAAAAGCTAGATTGTCCTCCTGCTGTTTCTTCTGATTGCTGATATCTGTCAGAATGTCACTTACGCAACAGATGTACTATAGAGATTACTATGGGATAATGTAGACTAATGTAGACTTGTCATTAACAATGAGCCCTTACACAAATACATGAAAGCATGCAAACTGATATATACATTTTTATTAAAACGTATTAAGTAAATTCACTGTGTGAGTGCCAAGCTTCAGCTACTGTGTAAAAAAAAAAAAATCAACCCGCTAAAATTGAAAACTTACGTTTAATTGCTGCCTTAATTTTTTAAGGACAAAGATTTTGTTATAAAAATATTAAATGTAATATAATATCAAATTAATGTGTGTATGTGTATATATACATTACCATTGAAAACTTTGTGGTCAGAAAGATTTTTTTAGAGAAATTAATACTTTTATTTAGCAAGGATGCATTAAATTGATCGAAAGTGAAATTAAAGACATTTAAAACATTCAAAATATTTATGTGTCAAATAAATGCTTTTCTTTTGAACTTTTATATTCATCAAAAAATCCTGAAAAGAAAATTTGATCACGGTTTCCAAAAAAATGATTTAGCAACACAACTGTTCATCATTAATAATAAAAAGAAATGTCTCTTGAACATCAAATCAGCATATTAGATCATGTGTAACTGAAGAATGGAGTAACTGCTGCTGAAAATTCTGATTTTCCATCACAGGAATGAATTGCATTTTTTTTTTTAAATAGTAACTTTAAATAATAGTTCACAATATTGCTGTTTTTACTGTATTTCAAATAAATGCAGCCTTGGTGAGCATAAGAGACTTATTTCAAAAACATTTAAAAAAATCGTTTTGACCCCAGACTTTTGAGTCTGTGTGTGTGTGTCACATATAAACACTGGCCATTCTCTAAGTAATTGCTTTGTTAACTCGTTTACCAGGTACTAAAAATATATTCACATGGTCAAGCTTGAAGAAGGCTCTGTCATGATCATGGGTGCTGTGCCAATTTCATGCTAAATGACAATTTGGTGGCAAGTCAATGACAAGATCAACCAGCATGTCCTTTTCAATACACCTCAAAGACAAGTCAATCCATCAAAATTACGTTTGAGGTGAACATTCATTTTTCAGGAAGAAAATGACCCAAAACACATCTCAAAGTTGTTCAAGAACTATCAAATAAGTAAGGTGAATAGAACTCTGTATACCGAGCATCAACTCAATACCATAAAACACCACAGAATGTGTTAGTGGCCCACTTAATATAGCCGCTTTTCCACCGTCGGCCCGAACGGTTCCAGTTATATTTCCACTTGAGCTTGGTTCAGCACGATTACAAACCGTTCTCGGCCTGGTATTCTCAGCATGGTTGTTTAACCATGCCGAACTGTGCTGGTAGAATGCATGTAGTGACTTCGTCATTCCCGATTGGTCACTTGTCTGTTGCCTGGCTGCCAGTTTCTCTTTAGCCCGGTCACTATTTACATCTCATATTGTCTGTAAACTCTTGCTTTACCAAGGTAACGACTGACGCATTTGTATTACATTTCAAAGAGCTCTGTTATCAGCCCCACAGTGGAAAATGAAACCATATCTGTACTGGCTGGGCCAGATCGGCACAGAATGGAAAGGTTAAGCAATGAGACCGGTTTGTCCCGACGGTGAAAAAGCGGCTAATGTGTGAGCAAGTGCTCTGGGAATTGCTACAGGATCAGAAAGGCCATACAGACAGTTTCCAGCTCAAATATGTTAACCGAATGCTTGAACGAAAAAAACTTGTTTGTTTGTATTTGTGTGAAACAGAAGAAAACAGCCATATGAGTATCAGACTGGATGGGTTAAAGAATATGTCAATCACATGTGAAAAAATTGATTGTGGATAATGATCGCTAAAGACTGGCTTTTCAAGAAGAGGGAAAGAAATTTTAGTCCCAAAATGAAATTCAGTAAGATATGATGGCGCACACTCACACTATTACTGCACAGTCATGTTGACGGATACGTTTTTGCTATGATGTCACCTGAAGACTTGCCTCAGTGACTCAGTATTCCATCCACAATTTGGATTGGGGTGGGAGGGGGGACTGGCCTGTCAATCATCCCTACTAAATAACAGAGCAGAGATGATCTACAATATCTAGACTGCAGAGTATCTGACAAATCAATTCAAGGACTCAATATAACTGTGACCACATCAGAGCAAATTGCATTAGTCATCGCTTTGGAAAACCGCAAAATATCACTCATGGATTTCTATACAGAGCAGCAGGATAAATTCATATTTTTGATATATTGCAGTGCAGATGGGAATCTGAAAAGCTCTAGAACAAGATTCTACAAGACATTTTCACCTGGCTATACCCAATGTTTAGATATGTTGTGTTATTTATGCAAATTAGTACATACATAATTAGATTATGCACCGTTTGCCCATGTTAACAAACAATTAAAAAAAACTTGTAATACATTTTTTGTTTGTCTTGATGTAAGTAATCAACTCATGTAATTTTCATGATGATATCTAAAGGTTCAAATTTTTACCCTATTCACGTGAGAAAAAGAATGAATAGGCATATGAATAGTCCATATTTGGGTCTTTTTCGAAACTTTCCCCTAATGGGATTCTTCGGGGCTTTTTTTCCTTACTCAGGACATATTGAGAATACAAAATCAGTTGAGTTTGCTTCTGTTGCAATTTGTTCTAGGTTGACCCCGCCATAGCCTATGCGCGTGACCTCACCGTTGGCCGGAGTGACTGCCGTTACGATTTGCAGTTATCATTTTGTGTCAATACACTAAATTTAGGGGTAAAATCATACCCTATATATTGTATTGTTATATATTGTATTGACAACTCATCAATTAAATATTTGCCATCGTATATTCTGCATAATTGGATGTTTTTAAATGAACACTGACAAAAAACTATACAAGTTTTAGGGCTGGACGATATGATGATATAGCCTATATATAACATTGATATAAGTGATCACCCGGATTTAGACCTACCTATATTGTATTTATATAAAACGTTCATAGGCAAATTTTCTTTATGTATTTCCTCTGTGTCTGAATGGCACATATAAATGTCAGGAAACACGATTCCTGGTTGCATGTCAGTATTCATGGCTCACTGGATCTTTGGTAAGTTGTAAGGAACACTATATCGAGTCCAACCTTAGTTTAAACTGATAATCGTTTGTTTTACTCGCGCTTTCACAGTTTCCTCTATTAAATCAAGTCACACAGCAGGCTCTTTTGCCACTCAGTCCGGCGAGGGGGCGTGTTCCGGCGGGAAAGTGACGTCAATGCATACCCTCTATACTGGGGCGTTAGGACCCACACAGACCACAGGGTGAGACCCCTTGCTGACCTCACTAACACCTCTTCCAGCAGCAACCTAGTTTTCCCAGGAGGTCTCTCATCCAGGTACTGACCAGGCTCAGCCCTGCTTAGCTTCAGTGGGCAACCAGTCTTGGGCTACAGGGTGATGTGGCTGCTGATTTAATGTTACTATGATGGGATGGTCGAGATGTTGGAATGTTTTGATAGCTCACAGCACACTTTGCCAGGGAAAAAACAAATTGCTTACTTTGTCTCTACAAAATAAGCTGGGATACAAGAACACACTTCAGCCTTAAAATGCTGATATGTCTTTAGGAGCAAAACCAGCCCTGAATATAACTTCACACTTCATAACTAGATGATTTAAAAAACTAATTCCGTAACTGTTGGGATGCTGTTATGTGGCCCTTGAGCCAGTTTAAACCAGATACTCAATACAACACAGAATGAATCTCTAATTAGTGCTGTACACGGTATCACTGATGTTGTATTAAGTGCTAAACACCTGGAACCCTTGTGCAAAAAAATGATGACAATTTAACAATACCTTTTCCTATTCAGATTTGCATTTATTTTTCCTTTCTTCTCTCTCTCCCTCAGGCGGATACAACAACCAGTTTTCTCCGTGCTGCACGCTCAGGTAACCTGGAAAAAGCTCTGGACCACATCAAAAATGGAATAGACATCAACATAGCCAATCAGGTGAGAGAAAAACCCATCCTGCAATGTCAAGCACCAAGCGTGTGAGTGAGTGTATGTGTACAGTATGTGTAAGTATTACCCTTAGGGTTTAATATGTTTAAAATTATTGGTAACACTGTACAATAAGGTATCATTTGGTAACATTAGTTAATAAAAATGTTCATGTTAGTTTACAGTGTTAGTTAACTGTTAACAGATACAATAAATGCACTAGAAGTATTGTTCTTTCTTTGTTCATGTTAACTAATGTTAAAGTCCCCCTGCAGTCAATAATTGTATCATTTAAACTCATCTTTGATAATCACAATGACATATTTAAACGTTTTTTCCTGTGAAAATAATTTCTTCATGCCTTAAAATAGTTTGAATGTAACTCTACACCCTTGCTTCATTTAGTATAGAGAGCCTAAGTCCCTCCCCTTCCGGTCGACCGCCATGGGACCTTATTTCGGAAAAATATTGTATGGTAGTCAATGGCGAGAGACAACAAATATTTTGATCTCGTTTGAATTGTGCCCTGAATTACACATATGATGTTTGTCAATTTAAAAGATACATTTTAAAGTCAAGAAAGTCGCAGTTTGATGTAAAACTGTTGAGGTATAAGACTTTGAAAATACGTAATTACAAAGACTACAAACCCAAAAGGCGCACATTTTCTCTCAATGAATGAAGCTAACTTTACTGAAGCTAACGTCTGTCATTTTTTCTATAGTCTTACGTTATAATCGTAACGTTACGCCGTCATGCCTGAGTGTTTTGTACCAGACTGCACACACACACGAGCAGCGGATCTTGCTTGTTGTTTCGCTTCCCGGGAGATGTAGTTCATTGAGCGATTTTCACATAAAACTAAATGTTACTCTTCTGTTTTATGACAAACTGCGACTTTCTTGACTTTCATAATTATCTTTTAAATTGACAAACATCATATGTGTAATTCAGGGCACAGTTCAGACGGAATAAAAAGATAAGTTGTCTCTCGCCATTGACTACCATACATATTTTTTCCGAAACAAGGTCCCATGAGCCGGAAGCGGAGGGGCGGGACTTAGGCTCTCTATACGTAGGTTCATGAATATGCAAATTAGTCCCCTCCTCAACTCAATCACACCAGTTTCCCACTCCACTTGTTCAACTGTAGTAAACATTACACAATGGCAAGTGGAAATATTGGTTTAACTCAGCCATATATGTTTGAACCACAAACTGATTCAGAAAAAGAAGAAAAAGAGTGAATTATCAGGCCCAATTCTAGTATGGTGTGCTTGAGGATGCTAAACACCCTCAAATGACAGCAAGAGCACCCTCAGTTGATACTGTAATAGTATCATATTAACGAAACAGATTTGGTAAATACAGTCTATATTTGTGTTCTGGAGAGCGTCAAATGTTTCTATTTACAATATACTTTTGCAGCGGTGAGCAATGTAGCCAACACTCTAAAAACTTTTACTATGATTTACTAAGTTTTTTTTGGTGAAACATTTTTACACTTAAAAATATTGATTAAATTTGAATCAATTACATATACCATATGAACTGAGTAAATGTAATTAAAAAAATTAAATAGATCTGAGTAATTGTATTTGGTACATTAACAAATAAAATTGAGTAGAAATAATTAAGGAAAACATTAAAAAAACAATATGAGTAATATCAATTGTTTTTATTTATGAGTAATATTAACTTTTAATTTCCTGTAAACCTTTGTAAAATACTCCACACAACCACAGGTACTGTTATACATGACATTGGCCTTTGTTGTTGATGAGTACAGCAATACAGCATATTTTATACTGTTTTAACATGTATACCCCATTGCCTACATTTAAACTCATAAAACAAAAATATTAGAAGTAAAAACGAAACATTTTAAAAGTGTAATTAACCGGTCTGTTATCCAATTTCCACCGTATCAGCGCTGGTTCTCGTGCCTGAGATGGACTTGCTCTCTGCGGAGGAACTTCGAATTCAGACCACCGTCCTGGGTTTCACTCTTTGACTCCATAACCTGCCAATTAACAAACAGTGCACAGTTCTGAGGACATTTTAGCATTGTTTTAATCAAGTAAACTTACTCAATTTCTTAAGTGTGTTACATACACTACCGTTCAAAAGTTTGGGGTCGGTACGATTTTAAATACTTTTAAAAGAATTCTCTTCTGCTAACCATGGATGCGCTTATTTGATTAAAAATACAACAAAAATCAGTTATAGTATTAAATATTATTCCAGTGTAAATCAGCTGTTTTCTGTGTGAATATATAGTAAAGTGTAATTTATTCCTGTGATCAAAGCTGAATTTTCAGCATCACCAGTGTCAGTGTCTTCAGTGTCAAATGATCCTTCACAAATCAGTATAATATGAGGATTTGATGCTCAAGAAACATTTATTATTATTATCAATGTTGAAACAGTTGTTGGTCTGTCAGTTGTACAGTTTTTTTTTTTTTTTTGGATTCTTTGATGAATAGGAAGTTCAAAAGACTTTTGTAACATTATAAATGTCTTTACTGTCACTTTCGATCAAATTAATTATTCCTTGATAAATAAAAGTATTGATTTCTTTCCTCCAAAAAATAAAAATAAAATTCTCACTGACCCCAAACTTTTGAACGGTAGTGTATATTAATAATATTGATTTGAATTAAGTAATATTTGTGGTTCTTGAAACAGAACAGTTTAATTCTCCATTCTCAAATATTTTGATAAATTTAACAAATATATTAAGTGTATTATAAATAAATAATTGGTAAGTCAAATACTAAATTCTTTTAGTTAAAAAAAAGTTAAATATAACTGTAAATTTTAGACAACAGACAACTGTTGGATTTTTAGTCAATTATTTTGGTATGTTTAACTCAAACAATCAAGTAAATGATATTCAGAGATTTTATTAAGTTAATAAAGTTAATTATTACTGTGATATTTACCAAGCCACTGAATTATTTTTTAGAGTGTTTGTTGATCTCTTGAACGCAGTGGCCAATCAGAGGTGTTTAAATTAGTCAGAATCCACTCACTAGTCAAAACGCCAGAGTTTTTGTTCACACTGAGTTCTGCACGCTCGCGAATCCTGTCATTAACAAAGTTTAGACATATTGTTAGTAAGATATTCATTGTGCAGTATAGACAACTTTATTGATTATAATGGAACTTTTAGTGAGATTGCAAACTAAGATGAGTGACAGGTTTTTAGTGATTCTAAAGGGTGTGCTCTTTGCACGCCTTCTATGCTATATGTAATAAATTCAGAATTTGAATAAAAGTTGACACATAAAGGTAATTGATATGATTAGCCTTTGGTTTGACTACGTTATCAATCAGCTAATAATGTGTTGCTAATGTTACACAAATCATGTTCCCGTTCGCCATCTCAGAGTCAGACAGCTGCCTTCTAAAAATCTGCATTCTTAGAAATAATGATAGGAAAAGCCCCGCCCGCACATTTACGGGATTGGTTACAAGTTTGTGACATAGAAATAAGGGGCGGTTTCAGCGTTTTGAGACTGTCTTTGGTTCACTGCTGTTTTAAGAAGAAAATATTCAGCAATGGTGTTGACTGATAAATTTCCACACGGTTTGTCTTAAAGCATATTAAAAACACCACATAGACCGATATAAACAACAACAAAAACCTTTCAAAAGACTTTTTAAAAGATTTTCACCACAGGAGGTCTTTAACAAATGAGACCTTATTGTAAAGTGTTACCAAATTACTATTATTACAGATATGAATGGTATATTAAAGCACAAATCATGGAATTTGTTAAGAAAATATTACAATTTTCAATTCTGTGTTCTATAAAACACCTAAAAGAATCCTTGAGATTTATTTTGGAGTAAAAACCACCTAACAACCACACAAAACACCCTAGCAACTCCATAGCAACATGCTTGAAATATATAAGAACAGTTTAGCAACTGCATGACACCACTAGTCTCACATCCACGCCTTGAAAGCCCAAAGTAACTTTGAAGCCCATTAATAGTACTGGCTAAATTCAGAAATTGCTATTAAGAGCTATAAATTCATCATATTGTAGATTAGGATCCACATCTGTGTGTGTGTGTGTGTGTGTGTGTGTGTGTGTGTGTTTGTGTTTGCTTGTGCCGGTTTGTGTTTTCGAGTCTGTATTAACCCCCCAATGCTCCTGTGGTCGGACAGTACAGCTGTGTTTACAGTGTTAATGCAGAACTGTGTTCAATGCCCTAATCAGTAAATTGCCATAATTAATCATGCCAGCATGTCTTCCTCCTCTAACCCCCTCACCGGTCATGCTTTTGCAAGCACTTGCATCATAACACTTGCTTACCTGCTTTAAATAGCATATTGTGATATTTGCAGGAGAGCTATGTTTGGTTCTCAGAGACGGGTTAGTGAATGGACCTGAGCAGTTGGCTGGCTTCCCGCATTGAAAAGCACTGAAAATGAACGCCCACTCTGTATGCCTGCATCCTGAACTCTCTCTGTCTCTTTCTCTTTCTCTCTCGCACACGCACACACACACACACACACACACACACACACACACACACACACACACACACACACACACGTTGACTACTACACCACCTTATAACATCATTCACCAACAGGATTCCATCGGGAACCTGTCACGGCCTACGATATGCAACCTAGACTAAATTTCAATGCGTCTTGTAGGTTTTTATAGTTACGTCTTTGGATAAACTGAAGTATACTTCCCGTTTGTGATGCTGATATCAGAGCGTGAATGTCTCTGTGCTGTCGCAACTGTGAGGAGCTTAGACTGGTTTTGACAGTGCTTTGGGACTAGAGAAAATTCTGAAAATCAGCAAAACCGTATTTTAAAGCTCAGAGCATGTGATTAATTTCCACCTCAGCTTAAAGCAAGTATTGTTAATGAGATTTTTAGACAATTGATGATCTTGTCATAGTGTAATTTGTCTTTATTGTATAGGTGATGAACTAACAGCTATAAATAGCCTTAATGTTATTAGCCATTTTATCTATTAACATCTAATGATTATATTGCCAAAAATAATCTAAGAATCAGAAAAAAATTCCAAATTGTCCTTATTATTTTGTTTTGTTTTATTTTATTTCATTTTTATTTCATTCTTTTCTTTTATTTATTTTTGAAAAGCCATTTGTATTCTAGCTACATAGCCAGACAGGATGTGCAAGAACTGAAGCACAAAACATTTCCTTATACAACAGTTTGTATAAAAAACAGAGTGAAAATTAAGCCATTATTCACTTAAAATCTTGACATCTATTCTTGTGCAGTAATCTTGTGGAATAAAAGTGTCTACCAAATGCACAAATGTAAATTGTAATGCTTATTTGTCCTTAGATGCTTGAACACTTCAGTCCCCATTCAAAATGTCATGACCGGAATTTCTCCTCTGTGTTTAACGGAGGGAACAAAGTCATTCAAACAATTGTGACCTTATTTAGGAATTTGGCCTAACTTGTCTGAAATATTTATACACGATCATTTAAAAGTTTGAGATCAGTAAGATCTTGTCTCTTTTTCCTACCAAGACTTCATTTATTTGACCAAAAATACAGTAAAAACAGAAATCTTGTATTATTATAATGTAAAAAATAACTTTTCTATTTTAATACATTTTAGAAAAATGAAAGATCCAGTGTTGGCGATCTATGCACGTATAACAATACTGTGGATATCACACAAATACTGTGACATTCCCTAAAACATAATGAAGCACGTCTAGAGAATATTAATGCCAAGTGGGCACGTGTGGCAGTTTTCATCAGAGCTCCTCCCCACCGTCTGCAAGCACCCCTCCTTCTCCATTCTGTCTTCCTTTCCTCTGCGCATGCACTGTGCAGCTGCAGTACGAGCTCATTAGAGATGAGTGACACTGCAGTATGAAGGGGATTCCAGTCAGACTAGCAGAGCAGAGCCCCCCTATGGCCAAATCTGGCTACACACCTAGCATCCCTTCAAAAGCACACACTGTACCATTTGCCGTTCTCCGATCAACCTTTACCTCGCCCGGCCTTTTTGTCGGTTTCCTCCACTGTTCTATTTCCAAGCCCTGTTTACTGAGAGCTTCACAGATCTGTAGATTCCTCAGTCAGTGCTTCACTGTGTTATTTTTAGGCTGCCCTCCTCTCAGTGAGTCATTTGACAGGTAGATGGGGAGAGATAAAGAGATAGACTTGAGATGTGTCAGGGTGGGGTTTTTTTTGTTGTTTTTTTTAGACTGACTTTTTCAGCACCTAATGTTTTCTCTTGTATTCGCAGAATGGGCTTAACGGGTTGCACTTGGCCTCCAAAGAAGGTCATGTTAAGATGGTGCTGGAGCTGCTGCACAATGGCATTGACCTGGAGACTAACACAAAGGTAAATCTACTTTCTTCAGTCAGTCAGGCTTCCTCTGGCAAGCCAAAAACAGGTTTATAAATGAGATAGTTCAGACTCTAAAGTTGTGTAACAAATGACACACCGTGCACTAAGCACTTATAATGCACTATGTACTCAACTCAACCGTGGCGTGCAGTGTATGCATTTTATAAGGTTATTCTGTCTTTCAACATCAGAGTCTGATAGCTCCTCCCCCTCTGTAATGTAATTAAAGCTGTGACAGTTGAGCGCATGAAGTGTCCAATATTCCACACTTAATGTGCATCATGTGTTAATTAAGTGCATAATCCGGATATGTAAAGTGTACTTTTTCAGTGTGAACACATTACTCGCATTATTAAAATGTCATAGAATAGTGCATATTAAGTATGCAAATTGGGACGCACATTAAATTCTGATTGGCTGAGTTGCTACAGTTTGTGCTTGTCAACCTAAAACAGTAATTAGCTTACAGTTAAGGCTGAACTTAAGAATTAACTCTTACCTGGTGTAATAAATATTTATTCTGAATATCTCTTTTAATAAATAACTACTTATTGAACATTGACATTTATCATATTGTATATTTAATAAAGACAAGTACTTCTAAAAGCTGACAGCATTACCATTGTACAAATTTGTGCATTTAAAATTTGCAGTTTCTCTCCTCTAGGAAAATGATTAAAAAATATTGTCTCAACTTTCTTTAATATTTTTTTTTTGTCCAATGAAATATTCTGGAGAATGAGAAAGTCCCTCCCACTGACTAACCGACTAACAATAGCAAGTAGCAAATAATAATAATTTTATTAAATACATATTTTTAATAAATCATAATGCAGTTTATTTCTGTTGCACCTTTCACATAAAATGTAGGTAAAAGTGCTTCACAGCTCAAAATTCTGTACAAGACATTTTAGATGAAAAAAGACAGCATTAAAATAAATCAATAAAAAAAAATCAGACAGAGATAAAACCAAAAGCGTGCAACACGGGCAAAAATAAAAGCAAAATAAAAAAATATTCAATATATAAAAGTCTTTATTTGTCTGAAAAGTCTTTCTCTTTATTATATTTACATGACTATTATTTTTGCAGAAAGGGAATACCGCCCTTCATATTGCTGCTTTGGCCGGTCAAGAGAAAGTGGTTGCAGAACTGATCAATTATGGTGCCAACGTCAATGCCCAGTCTCAGGTTGGTCTGAGCCTCAAGACATGAATCAGCAAACATAGAATTGTGTAGATGAAAAGCTTATAGATTGTAGATAATTTGTTCTTTGTTGTTATTTTGTGTTTTGTGCAGAAAGGTTTCAGTCCCCTGTACATGGCAGCACAGGAGAACCACTTGGAAGTGGTGAAATATCTACTTGAACATGGAGCCAATCAGAGTCTTCCAACCGAGGTGAGTGACACTTTGAAATCAAACTCAGCAGAAATAAAACCCAAATGAACCTACAACTCTCGATTTCATCCCCCAGGATGGCTTTACTCCTTTGGCGGTAGCTCTTCAGCAGGGTCACGAGAACGTGGTGGCCCTCCTTATAAACTACGGCACCAAGGGCAAAGTGCGTCTGCCTGCCCTGCACATCGCAGCACGCAATGACGACACGCGCACTGCTGCCGTACTGCTGCAGAACGACCCAAACCCAGACGTCCTCAGCAAAGTATGTGTGTTTGTACACATCTGAAAGGTTTTATCTCACCACGAGCAGGATTACGCATCATGACTCACTGAGCTCAGTGCAGCCGCTCTTGGCTTGTAATTGCAGCGATGACTATGTGACAAGATAAACAGTACTGAGTTTGTTTAAAAATCTGTCAGCGTAGGTGTTACTGTTTTATAAATATACTGAGTCAATGAAATGTTACACTCTTTTCCCGTAGACCGGCTTTACTCCCCTCCACATCGCAGCCCATTATGAGAATCTCAGTGTCGCACAGCTTTTGTTAAACAGAGGAGCCAACGTGAACTTCACGCCGAAGGTCAGTTCAACTCTCATGTGAAATGCCGCTTCCTGCTACATAAAAGATTACATGAATTTTCATTTTTACTAATTTTCTCTTGCAGAATGGTATCACGCCAATACATATCGCTTCCAGGAGGGGGAATGTTATTATGGTGCGACTTCTGTTGGACAGAGGAGCTCAGATAGATGCCAAGACAAAGGTACAGTACAGTATCCATTAGGGATGTGCTAAATATTTTCATAATCGAATGGTCTGCAGTTTGCAGTGTTGTTATTGTTGACTAAAACTAAAGCTATTTTAATGTCATTTTCATTCATTGAAATGGAGCTTAAGTTGAAGTACTAAAATTACAAAAAGCTAAAACTGAAATAAATTTAAATTAAAGCTAAATAGAAATAATTAAATATTAATAAATCAATAAATAGAAATAGAGACCTTAAACTAAAAGTTAAGTGAAACAAAAATAAAAGCTAATTCAAATATTAAAAATAGTTAAAAAAAAAAAAATATATATATATATATATATATATATATATATATATAGAGAGAGAGAGAGAGAGAGGCAAGAATAAAACAGAGCGCAAGTGTCTCAATATGTGTTTGTAAAAATAATACTAATAATAAAGAATACATCTTTCATAAAATGTATATGAATATAGACCTGAATATGTATGAATATAGACCTGGATTTTTTTCTTTATAACAAAATAAAATGAGATGGATTAAACATTGCAAAGTTAGATTTCGTGTAATCTAATAGTCAATTCTCTTGTATCCAGTCGTAATCACATCTCACAGTGACATTATTTGCTGGCTAAGATGAAAAATCACACTGCTGAGACAGAAATTATTTAATTCTAGAATGACCTATTTTACTTCCTCATGGTAAAAACAGGTGTTTTCTCTTTGTGACCACTTGCTGTTTTAATGGTATACTTTAATTCGTTCATGAATAAGGACAGAAAATGCAGCTCATGTAGGATACATTAAAACATGGCTGGTAAATTCTTCAGAAATGCTTATTCTTTGCGTTATCTGCAGGATGAGCTGACGCCACTGCATTGTGCAGCCAGGAACGGTCATGTACGTGTGGTGGAGATCCTGCTAGACCAGGGCGCTCCCATTCAGGCCAAGACCAAGGTGGCCAAACTATATTACTAAGATGGGCCATACTGTAACAGATTTTTAGCATTATTGATGGTGTAATCATGCTTGTAATATCAGTTGATAATAATGTGTTCCCCCTTGCAGAATGGTCTATCTCCCATCCACATGGCAGCACAGGGCGATCACATGGACTGCGTGAGGCAGCTGCTGCAATACAACGCAGAGATCGATGACATCACCCTCGACCACCTGACCCCGCTGCATGTTGCAGCACACTGTGGGCACCACCGCATGGTCAAGGTGCTGTTGGACAAGGGGGCAAAAGCTAATGCCCGCGCTCTGGTTAGTGCATCAGTCTTTTTCTCTTCTCTCTGCTTTTTTCCAACCTGTATTTTACTTATTTATTTTTTATCTCTTTTAATTAATATTGCCAGTTAATGTGACGACAACCCTGATTACCATCCGTAAAACAAATAGCTGAATTGAATAAATAGGGTCAATAAGATATATATATAATACATTTAGTGCAGTATTAATTACAGCTGCACACTGTGAAATGTATTAGTTGATTTGTTGGTGTATCTTTTTAGAATGGATTCACTCCATTGCATATTGCCTGCAAGAAGAACCACATGCGGTCCATGGACCTTCTGCTGAAGCACTCAGCATCTCTGGAGGCCGTGACTGAGGTCAGATTTCTCTCTGGCTGTCACTTTGATGGATAACCTCACTTTGCACCATCTACTCCTTTATCTTGACCCTTGTAGAAAATAGAAAGACTATGAAGGAATGAGAAATGGCTTTTTCACGATTACTTTTGGACAAGAATATATTAACATTATACACTACAGTTAAAAAGTTTGAGGTTATTATGACTTTTTTATTTTAAAAAAAGAAAGAAAGAAATATATTCAGCAAGGGTGCATTAAATTGATCAAAAGTGACAGTAAAAACATTGATAATAAAGGCTGTTCTTTTGAACTCTATATTTATCAAAGAATCCTAAAAAGAAATGGATCATGGTTTCCACGAAAATATTAAGCAGTTGTTTTCAACATTTAAATAAATAAAAATGTTTCTTGAGCACTAAATCTGCATTTTAGAATGATTTCTGAATGTTCATGTGACACCTAGCACTGGACTAATGGCTGCTGTAAATTTAGCTTTGCCATCACAGGAATAAATTACATTTTGAAATATAGTAAAATAAGAAACAGTTATTTTAAATTTGTAAAATCTTTCAATTGAATAACAGACTTAAAGTCTTTGCGAAAATGCATGTTCTTGTCTCTTAGTCGGGTCTGACCCCACTTCATGTGGCTGCATTCATGGGGCATCTCAACATAGTGAAGAGTCTTCTTCAGAGAGGAGCTTCACCCAACGCTTCTAATGTGGTAAGAACGGTGTATTTGTTTGGCACCTCAGATATACTGAACAATCGAATCCCCAAGGCACTGCTATTCTGCTTTACAAACTGGCTAATGTCTTTAGCAGCGATGGTGGCAGTAATCACAGTTTCCTTTTCAGAACTTAATGTTTGTGACTGTATTAAAATGTGCCATTGTAGAAAGTGGAGACCCCTTTGCACATGGCTGCCAGAGCGGGGCACTGTGAGGTGGCTCAGTTCCTGCTACAGAACAATGCACAGGTGGATGCCAAAGCGAAGGTATGCCAATCATACAAGCTGTTTTATCTTCATTTATCTTTTGTTTTAAAAATCTCATGTTTCCTATATCTCTCTCTTTCCTTTCACAGGATGATCAAACCCCCTTGCACTGTGCCGCTCGAATGGGACATAAGGAGTTGGTGAAGCTGCTCTTGGAACATAAGGCCAATCCAGACTCGGCCACCACGGCAGGCCACACCCCTTTGCACATCGCTGCCCGCGAGGGACACGCCCAGACCACACGCATCCTGCTCGACGGGAATGCCCAACAAACCAAAATGACCAAGGTTCTCTCCTCTCAATTGACCCTTTACTAAACCCCGCCTTAAAGTCGGCATGAAACTGAAGTTGCAATAGTCTTTTCTTCCCTATTGTGACATATATCTGTGTGAAACAGCTCCTCAAACAAGACAAAAATGTAGGGCGGGACTTGATTTTGTGTATTGATTGGATTGCTGGATCGTCATGGTTTGCTATTGATGTAATCTCATGTCAGTGACAGGTTGTCCCGCCCTCACTTCAGTAAACAAGCTATTAGAGAAGAGGTGAGATTTCATTGCAAGAGTGAGGGGAAGTTATTTTGATTAAAGATTACGAGGGCACGAGTGAGGGGAAGTTATTTTGATTAAAGATTACGAGGGCACGTGAATTAAAATAAAATAAAATAATGATGTGCATGAATAAATTGTTTGCAAAATATTGCACATCGCTTTTTGCACATTGCACAAAAAAATAATTGTTAATTTTGATTTCACGGTGACTTTAAAATGCTACCGACCAATCATACCTTAGAAACTCTTGGTGTTCGTTGAAGTCTGTGTGTTTTATAGAAATTATTAAAAAATATGGTAGCAACAGTAACACAGGGTGGAGCCTAACAATGGGTAATTTATGACAATAAAATATGCACACCTGCATTCTCAGTATGTTTATCTGCGTTTTCTTACAGAAAGGATTTACCCCTCTTCATGTAGCATGTAAATATGGGAAAGTGGATGTGGCGGAGCTGCTTTTGGAAAGAGGGGCCAATCCCAATGCAGCCGGAAAGGTAATTCATCAAGACGAACATCTGATATCTCAGTACTCGTCTTCTAATATCAGATGACAGTCAGTGGTAGCTGACTGAGGCCATGTGCCTCCTCTCTCCCCTCTCAGAATGGCTTGACCCCTCTGCACGTGGCCGTCCATCACAACAACCTTGATGTTGTCAAGCTGCTGGTCAGCAAGGGCGGCTCTCCACACAGCACGGCGAGAGTAAGATACACATATACACCTTACTCTTAGAAGATCTTGGCGGGTGACTATTCTGAGCTGTGACGTTAGGGGTAGCAGTCTATTTCAGTATTTTAAAAGCAGTTTAAGAAAAAAAAACAGTCACTTTTACTTTTCCTCCTTTTTACAGAACGGCTACACAGCCCTGCATATTGCAGCCAAACAGAACCAACTGGAAGTGGCGAGCAGTCTGCTGCAGTATGGAGCTAATGCCAACTCAGAGTCACTACAGGGCATCACCCCGCTTCACCTGGCGTCACAGGAGGGGCAACCTGACATGGTGGCTCTTCTCATTTCCAAGCAGGCCAATGTGAACCTGGGCAACAAGGTGATACAGTGTTTAAGCTTTGATTAATAGGTATTTGGTATAGTTCTTTGAGAGAAAATAAATAGTAAGCTATAAAAGATTGAGACGTGTTGGAAGAATGAAACAAGAGGAATGGGAAGAAATGCATTTAATATCTATCTGACATCCTTTGTGTGTGTGTGTGTGTGTGTGTACAGAATGGACTGACACCTCTGCACCTGGTTGCTCAGGAAGGGCATGTGGGCATTGCAGACATGCTGGTGAAGCAGGGTGCTTCGGTTTATGCAGCCTCAAGGGTAAGACACTTCAATGCACACACACACACACACACACACACACACACACACACACACACACACACAAACACACACACACACACACAAACACACACACACACACACAAACACACACACACACACACACACACACACACACACACACACACACACACACACACACACACACACACACACACACACACACACACACACACACACACACACACACACACACACACACACACACACAGCAGTGCCATCTGTAGAATGTCCTAGAATTTTGACCCCAAAGCCCTGTGTAATAGACTATGCTAGTGCTAAATCGACAAACAAAACCAAATCTTCACATTATCTGAAGAAAATATGAGTGGGTTTGGCCAGTACAAACCTTGTAACCCCATGCTATGATTTGGGTAGTTTTTAGGGCCATGCTATGTGGAGGCTAAGATGTTCTGAGTGTTTTAGGGTTGTTTCAGTAGAGTTGCTAAGGTGCTCTGAGTGTTTTTGACATGGTTAGGCAGTTGCTAAGGTTTTCTGATTGTTTTTTAAAAGTTGTTAATATGCAATTGCAAAAGTGCTATGAGAGTTTTAGGGTGTTGCTGTGCGGTTACTAAAGTGTCCTGATTTTCTAGGGTGTTGTTATGCAGTCACTAAGGTGTTGTTATAAAGTCACTAAGGAGTTTTTTTTTTACGGTTGTTGTTTTGCAGTTGCTATTTTGTTCTGAGTTTTTTTTAATGTTGCTATCCAGTTGCTAAGATGCTTAGAGAGTTTTGTTACCAGAGCGGGTCAGATAAGCCCACCCTCAAGTCTTTTTGATATTTTGATACCTAAATATGGCTCAAATCCCTCGTTCAATGTAAGCTGCTAGGCTTTAGGTGTCATTTGTATATATAGCATTAATATTTGTGGTTTGTCTGAAAAAAAACGAAACCCCTAACCATATCAGCAATAGTAATAATAATGCTTGTTTAGCAAACACAACTACTAAATATTGTGATATTGTAATGTGTGCTGAAATTCACAGTGAGTGACTTTAACCTTTTCCTAATCCATTCTTCACCCCATTAAATCATTCTGGCTCTGAATAAAAGGGCCTGAAGCATTGTAATGTTAGCTGGCATTGATCATCTATGTGCACTGGAACCTACCCATTTAGCTGTTCACTTGCTTTTTCTTTTCTTTCTCACCCTTTTTAATCTCTATCTCTCTCAGATGGGCTACACACCCTTACATGTGGCGTGCCACTATGGGAATATAAAGATGGTAAAGTTCTTACTCCAGCTGCAAGCACACGTTAACAGCAAGACCAGGGTAAGTGCTACACATCTGGATATACTGTACACAGGACTCTTTTTGTACACTTTTCACTGTTAATATGTACCTTTGCACTCTCATTCTCCCCCATCTTTCTTTTCCAGTTGGGATACACTCCTTTACATCAAGCAGCCCAGCAGGGTCATACAGACATCGTCACCCTGCTGTTGAAACATGGAGCACTACCTAATGAGATCACCACTGTGAGCAGACCCCCTTCCCCCATATTGGAAATATGACAATTCTTCTCACCATAAAATAGTATACACTGCTTAAATGTCTGATGAAGAGCATTTGGTGTGGGTAATTTCTGCTGTCATGCTGCCAGGCCTCGGCAGTAAACATAAGCTGTTATTTAGGAATTATACTGCTGAATAGAGCAGCATGGCTAGCATACAGTGGCCCTAAAAAGTATATTTAGTATTATATTATATTATATATTGTTTATTGTAGATGTGAGATTTGGTGACCTGACTGTGTTATCTGTGGCAGAATGGGACGTCACCCCTGGGTATCGCTAAGCGGCTAGGCTACATCTCTGTCATTGATGTGCTCAAACTGGTGACTGAGGAATCTGTATCTGTGGTGAGAGTCGTTTGCATCCTCATGAACTTTATCTTATCTCAGTATGAGATTTTAATCTTCAAAGCTTGATTTGTGGCTTTTATTACGTCATCTTTCATCTCTTGTCAATCTGGTCGTCTTCTGTGAATTGTACAACATTTGCCATCTTGACTTGTTCATATATTCCCTCTCTTTCCCTCAGATCACCACTGAGAAGCATCGCATGAGTTTCCCAGAGACGGTGGATGAAATACTGGATGTGTCGGAAGATGAAGGTGCGTACGTGTGGCACCTATTGGATTTAGCCTGAAGGATCATACTGCAGTAAATACCACATTAAAACGCTGATTCTCAGCTGCTGTGACAAGGTCTCTCAGTACCATGAGGTTGGTGCTAGACTCTCAATTAAAAACATGAGCCAGTTGGCAGATGGGTTGCTGGGTCATATCCCAAAAGTTACAGTCTGAAGTGAACTAGAGATTAGAGATGATATCACACTCAAAGATTACTTACTTGACTGCACAATGTAATTTACACATGTAGGATCAGTTGTGTAAATTAAATTAAATGTCATCATTTACACACCCCATGTCTTTCGAGGCTTATTGACTTATTAAGCAGTTATTTAGCAGGATCCAAGCTGCTCTTTTCCATAAAACGATAGAGAATGGTGACCAGGGTTATTATCATGAACTAAAACCATTAAAACACACACATTCACATATTTGTTTAAACGCCGCTCTCATCAGTGTGGACTTTGGGATGTTTGTTAACGCTGCAAAGGTATTTCAAACTTATGTTTTTCCATAAGCAAAAAACGATAAAGATCCTTCTTCGTTATTAACTGATGCATTTAGGCTATGTATAAGGTTTGCAACTTATATAAAACAATATTTGAACTCCATAACCTTAGACCTATTGCTTATTTCACATATTCTCGAACCAGCATATCACAAAGAGCATTCTGGGTTGAGTGAGCGGACTGAGCGAGCCGAGCGGAATCTTCAGAAAGTTTACTGTTTTTTTGTTGTTCGTCTCTGTTTACTGTTTAAATATTACTGCTCTGCTCTGCTCTGATTCAAATGGACCGCTTTTATGGTGCTTTAATGTCTGATGCTTGACAGCCATTGGTCTCTATCCAATTTCAATGTAAGGGAAAAGAACAGCTTGGACATTCTGCTGAACATTTCCTTATGTGTTTTAAGGATCTGGAAGAAATAAAGTTTGGAAAGAATGATTAAAAGATGACAGAACTTCCATTTTTCATTGATCTATCCCCTTAAGCCTCATTGGCTCTTATCATTATATGTGTTTGTTTCTTCTGATAGATGATTGATAAATTTCCATTTATTTAGGACTTTAATGGAATGAAAAAGCTAAAGCAAGTATTTCATGATATTCTAAACCTACTGTAAATCTACTACGGTAGCATCGCCAGCCTGAAATGTTCCTTCTTCCTTCCTGCTGTAGGAGTTGCTCAGCTAACATTAGGTAGGAGTGTCTCCCACTTTCTGGCTTGGTTGTCCGGTACTCAGTGGTTCATGAAACGTGTGCCTCCATTTCAAGCACTCTCATCTTGTCTCTGACCCTCAAGTCTCTCTGACTGCTCTCTATTTTTAACATTTCGCTTTGTCTTACTACGGCGTTGGCCCTTCATTATCGTGTGGTCATGATGTTTCTTTTCCTTTACTGACAGTAACGTGTTTGTGGATCCATCATTAACAGGACTGCATCTGAAATTACTTAAACACTGTTTGTGCAAGGGGGTTTCTTCAACTATGGGTATTTTTGGCTTTGTGCAATAAATAAACAGACTTAAAACATACTTTTCTCAACAATTTCCAAAAGAGTATAGACGGGCATCACAGGAGAATTCAGACATTTTTTTTGTCAGTTTCCATCACATTAATATATTATATTATAGATTAGATTAATGTATATCATTTAACGTGTTTATTTGTGTATCAGTTGTTTTTTATACTTATTTTTTAATAGATTTTCATATTTTGAGACACCGGTCTCATATTAATATTGTATTATTATTTTATTAAATTGTTATTAACATTTTTATATTTTGTGTTTGTATATATATATATATATATACACTCACCGGCCACTTTATTAGGTACACCTGTCCAACTGCTCGTTAACACTTAATTTCTAAGCAGCCAATCACATGGCGGCAACTCAGTGCATTTAGGCATGTAGACATGGTCAAGACAATCTCCTGCAGTTCAAACCGAGCATCAGTATGGGGAAGAAAGGTGATTTGAGTGACTTTGAACGTGGCATGATTGTTGGTGCCAGAAGGGCTGGTCTGAGTATTTCAGAAACTGCTAATCTACTGGGATTTTCACGCACAACCATCTCTAGGGTTAACAGAGAATGGTCCGAAAAAGAAAAAACATCCAGTGAGCGGCAGTTCTGTGGGCGGAAATGCCTTGTTGATGCCAGAGGTCAGAGGAGAATGGCCAGACTGGTTCGAGCTGATAGAAGGGCAACAGTGACTGAAATAACCACTCGTTACAACCGAGGTATGCAGCAAAGCATTTGTGAAGCCACAACACGCACAACCTTGAGGCGGATGGGCTACAACAGCAGAAGACTCCACCGGGTACCACTCATCTCCACTACAAATAGGAAAAAGAGGCTACAATTTGCAAGAGCTCACCAAAATTGAACAGTTGAAGACTGGAAAAATGTTGCCTGGTCTGATGAGTCTCGATTTCTGTTGAGACATTCAGATGTTAGAGTCAGAATTTGGCGTAAACAGAATGAGAACATGGAACCATCATGCCTTGTTACCACTGTGCAGGCTGGTGGTGGTGGTGTAATGGTGTGGGGGATGTTTTCCTGGCACACTTTAGGCCCCTTAGTGCCAATTGGGCATCGTTTAAATGCCACGGCCTACCTGAGCATTGTTTCTGACCATGTCCATCCCTTTATGGCCACCATGTACCCATCCTCTGATGGCTACTTCCACCATGTCACAAAGCTCTAATCATTTCAAATTGGTTTCTTGAACATGACAATGAGTTCACTGTACTAAAATGGCCTCCACAGTCACCAGATCTCAACCCAATAGAGCATCTTTGGGATGTGGTGGAACGGGAGATTCGCATCATGGATGTGCAGCCGACAAATCTGCGGCAACTGTGTGATGCCATCATGTCAATATGGACCAAACTCCCTGAGGAATGCTTCCAGCACCTTGTTGAATCTATGCCACGAAGAATTGAGGCAGTTCTGAAGGCAAAAGGGGGTCCAACCCGTTACTAGCATGGGGTACCTAATAAAGTGGCCGGTGAGTGTACATATATATATATATATATATACACACATACGGGATTTTTATAATTTGAAAAACGGGTAAAACTATAAAAGTTATACATAAAAGGTATTGGGAAACTATCAAAAATAAATAATGAAGACATGAAAAAACTTTTAAATGTGTTTGTTTCGATAAAAATCAACCGCTGGGACCCGTAGAGCCCGTAGTTGAAGGAACACCCATAGATGAGGTTCTCTTTATCCAAACATTAAGGGAGTCACACTGGGAGTGAATAATTTTACTAATTGATGATGATTATTTGACTCAGCAGAGGGCTCCAAAATGACACAGTGTATGTTTTACGCGTCTCTGAACACCTGTGATTAAGCCCCTACAATAACATCAAACAACCTCTCCCATGCAGATTAAGTGTGATCTTCTCTGCACTACCGGGCATGCCCACTTCAGTAACCAATACCATGAAATCTTACTGAATTTCTTGATTTCTTTGTTTTCCATTGGCTCTCTGTGTGTATGACTTCATTGCTTGGACTTGAATGAGTGAATGAGTGAAGGTTCTTGTTTGTGCTCGACCGGGAATGATGGATTGTGAATGCTGAAATGACTTCTGAGCTTTCCTTCCTTTCTCTTAATCATCCTTTTTCCTGCAAACCTCCTACATCAGTGTCTGTGACATATTTTGTGCTGTATGTAGGTGATGAACTTCTCGGGATGGATGGGGCTCGCTATTTGAAGCTGGATGACCTAAAAGACCAGGATGATGATTTTCTGTCCCCCAAGAAAACCCTGAGAGATTTTGAGAGCGGGATGGGCACGACGTAGGTCACAAGAGCACAATGCAACGATTTTGTCCTTTGGCTAACATGCTAGAACAGAATCATTTTTTTTACTTTAAAATAAAGCAGTCAGATTACAACTATTTCCTTCATTCTCTCTAGACCTTACTCACCCGCAATTCCCAGAATTCCATGTGTGTCACCTGAAACTGTCATGTTGGACCAGGTATTGTACTTTTCTGCTTTATGTGCTGAAATAAGAAATTCCTTGCTGAAAAATCCAGGTCTGGTGTTATCTAAATGGTCAAAGATTTTTATTTGTTAGTCTAAGCCAGCAGTTCTCAACCTTTAGTCCAGAACAATATTTGAAGGCCCCCTTTGCCCTCAATGTGTTTTTCAAAATTTATTTGAATCTATTGGCACTTCTTGTTTCTGTTAATTAAAACAAAAATTTAAATAGTAAAAATGTTGTGTTCCAGAGGTTTTAAGTACTGAATGTTATGCAGGGTTCCTAGTCTTTTGACCAATGAATTTACATGACTTTTCCATTCATTGATTCAGGGTTTACTGGATAAAGATTAAGGATAACCCAATACAATATTTTAGTGCTTTGCATAACTAGAAGAAAAAAAAATTATTTCATTTTTATTTTTTATTATTTTTTATTTTTTATTTTCAACCTTTATTTTTACCCTGTCTGAAACTATCAGTTTTAAAGGGCAGCTCCTTTAAGGATTGTTAGTAAATGATCACTGTTATGATTGGCTAACGTCATTGCATAGGAAATTGCACGTGTGTAAGTGCTTTGAAAACATTATCCATATAAAACCGTTATTTACAGACAAAGCTTCATGAAATCATTTACTTATGGTTTGTGATGCAGCTGCTGTCAGATCCGATACAGTTGGCTGCTTCAGTTATGCCTCATTGACAAAACAAAATGCTCCGAACAAACATAATCCTCCGACACGATCCAGGACGCCATTAAAATAAACCGTGCACTTGTTTCTGACGCTGGGATCCTTCTGAAGTCTGTACAGATGCAAAAGCTGTTTAAGCAGAATGCATCAAAGCAAACGTTCTTTCACTCTTCAGCTTGAAGTAACGCACATCTGTATCCAGTGTAGACAGCATCAGTGATTATAATGGGTCCTGTGTGCTTTTGACTCAATGCAACACACGCTCACATACAGTGTAGGCCAATGTCAGCTCTTAAGCGAGTGAATGCAAGTGGGCGAGCCTATGGTGCGATGATATATAACTATTCGTTAATGTCTTGCTCTGGAGGCCATGTGACGTCACAAATCCCACAATATCCAAATGAGCCATTTTTGGAGGTTGGTTGAATAAATGCTTTGTTCATAAAGAATGAATGATGTTTTAAGCTATGAAACTTGCAGGATGTTTAATGGTACAAAGACCTCTTATATGTCAAAAGATCAAGGCAAATTTGATTTCTCGTGTCATGACCCATTTAAGTAATTTTAAGGCCCACCTGAAAGTTTGCTGAGGCCCTGGTTGAGAAGCACTGGTCTAACCTGGTAAACCTTTTTTAAAGCTGGTTAGGACTGGTAAACCAGCTTGGCTAAGCTGGAAGAAGCTTGAGTTAATTAACCCTATTTCTAAACAGCTTGACCAGCTGCTATGACCTGGTTATCCGAGCAGAGTTGACCTTTTCTCTCTTTTACGCTCATAAAGCTGTCATTGTACCTCTGTTTGTGTGTGTCTTTGTGTCTGTGTGGTCTGTGCTACTCCTGTGTGTCTGCAGCACACACCTGTCCCTTTGCCAAAGGAGTATGACGAGGACTCTCTAATCCCCAGTAGTCCAGCCACAGAGACCTCAGACAACGTTAGCCCAGTGGCCAGCCCCATCCACACTGGGTCAGTGCACATAATTCACATTCATCCTAAACAAATCCAGTAAACGGACGTTACGAACACTTCTCACCGCTTTTATCTCCGTATTTATCTGTTGGCCATAAATGCTTATTTTTATACCTGTCTTCACTGTCATCTTGTGTCTAGGAGTAGGCTCTTTTGAAGAGGTTTTGGATTTATACTGGGCTTCCGGTTGTTTTGAAAATTCATTGTGCCTGATTTGCTCACCGACTGGTTGTTTGACAGGTTTCTGGTCAGCTTCATGGTGGATGCGAGAGGCGGGTCCATGCGGGGCAGCAGGCATAATGGTCTGCGTGTGATCATCCCGCCACGCACCTGCGCTGCCCCCACACGTATCACGTGCCGTCTGGTCAAACCGCAGAAACTCACCACCCCACCTCCTCTAGTGGAGGGAGAGGGACTGGCATCTCGTATTATCTCTCTAGGGCCTTCCAGTATGCAGTTTCTAGGGTAAGTGTGTGCTTGTGCAATAAGGATGGCAATTGCTTGCTATTCTAGTTGTGATACCATGAATGATTCTTTTAGTAGGACTGAGGCTACGCCTACATTAATCCGGATACATTTGAAAATGCAAATGTTCACAGTGTGGGCTGTGAACACGGAAGTATTCAAAAACGATGATGCATGTTCAGCAGTGTTGTGTGTAACGCGTTACAAAGTAACGCGTTACAGTAACATAACTACTTTTTCGGGTAAAAAGTAGTGTAACGCGCTACTACTGAAAATTTGGTAACGAAATGTAGTTCCTTTTTCAATTCGGCGCAACGTTACTTTCCCCAGGGACAGATTATCTGTCCCTGGGATTTGACAGCGGTCTCCGTCATTTGATAGATTTGACCGCGATCGCCATCTCCGTAGTGAACGCCCCAGAGAGAAATGCACATAATGGATTACATAATCAGAGAGTAGCCTATTTCTTTTCGTTTTGAATTGTTTCGTTTTAGACATTTCAAGCTTAAATTCTATACGTTGAGTTTCGGTTAATTTATGATGAGATGCTCCAGTTCACGTGCAATGCAAGTGACCACGCCGGCGCTTCCATGATTATATTGTCTCCTATATTTGCTTCTTACTTGCAGGCATTTGGTCGATAAAAAATTGATTAAAATTAAGATACAATTTATACAAAACGAAATTCGCTTTAAAGAAAGGTTTTCTTCAAAACAAAACTTAATGAAGTGGTCAAAATCATGTCTGATTGACTCAATGTCTCCCGATATATTGCGCATCATCTTACTCGCGCTGTTCACTTTTCATAATCAGCATAGATAGAAAAAAAATAACATTATAATATTTTAACAAATATGAAACTAAATGCGCTTATTTAATGGCTACAACACGTAGGCTATAGTAGGCCTACAGACTCTCTATTTGTATATTGCTGCACATTCATTTAATTCTGAATTTTGCACACATAAGTTGAAAGGCATTTGTTTACGTGCATAGTAAAACATATCTGCAACATTTATCAAGTTCACGGATAATTGTGCGTGCATTTATCAATCATTATGATACTAAAATCATAATAAAGTAGGCTATACTATGTACAAAAAATCAGATGAGCCCAGAATATGAACGCAACGTGTTTACTTACACGTTAAGCATTTTCCTCCCATAGAAAACCATTATAAGAACGCTTAATTTGGCTTAATGCAGATTAGAATGTCCCCTTATTATGTCTAAATAACAAGATTTTTTCTTCACCATGCGGTTCAGGACTTCCATAGAATACAGCCTGAATATAATTACTTCCAGAAATGATTTTTGGGGGTGCTAACGGGGTGCTTTGGTCTTTCTTGGGGGCTTTCTTTCTAGCCCCTCCCTAGCGCCGCCCATGCATATGCCTATCCATTAACCGGCATTTCTTCATAAATATAAAATTTGTTGAAAAATGCATTATGCATTTATGGCATTATATATGGCATTATGCATAGTAGAACTTTATGTAGGCCTACACATTTAGGAACAGATATTGGGTTCTGCCCAAAGTCAAGCAACATAAAAGTAACGTAAAAGTAACGAGTAACGTAAAAAGTTACTTTCTATATGGGGTAACTAAGTAAAGTAACGGATTACTTTTTTAAAGAAGTAACGAGTAACGTGTTACACTACTTTTTAAAAGTAACTTCCCCAACACTGATGTTCAGTCATGTGACATATTTTACCAATAGATATCTACGGTTATAGGGACATGTGCTATGTGTCTTCATATTACATTACAATCTTCATATTACATTCCAAAAACAAAATGACAAAAAAATGTACTTGCAATTGCTGTCCTGTGGCAAAACTTGAGGGCAATTCGCCTTTGGCTAAGCCCCGCCCCCCTTAGTTACTGTTGCTACGTCCGACAAACAAACTTCATCTGGGCTCTGGTATCAACATGGCTTATGCTGTGACAGCTCTTCCTGCTGAAATTTTATCAAACTTTTATAAAGCAGCAAATAAAGTGTCCGATAGAAGTAGGCAAAAGGGGCTGCAATATACGTTCGAAGGCTATATTCACGACATACAGGTGAAACGCAAGGAACAACAAGGCATCCAAATAGAGGCAAAAGCATACCGGTCACAGTCAAAAAATGAACCACCGCATATCCTACTAATCGAGACGGAGGCTGGGACTAACAATATCAAGGAGCAACACTGTTCATGCAAAGCTGGGTAGGTCTCTATTCACTTCTATAATCGTTATTACAAAGCAAACGGACTACGCGAGTATAACGTTGTATTTATTAGCAGCGTGTGCTAGACGACACTTGTCAGGATTTGACTTCGGTTTGGGAAGGGAAAAAAACGCACACCCCCCTCCAACCTCTCTGGGAAACGCGTATCTGTGTTACAAATGCCCAAGGCACAACGTTTAACCATATTTTTGATAAAACTACGACGGTAATAGCCTGCCGAGACCAAAAATATGAGACTCCTGTGTTTAAGTCAATGAAGCGCTGTTAAAAAGTGTCGGACCTCTGTGGGAGCTCGTTCTTGGCTGCGCTGTGATTGGTCAATCTACATTCTAGGGTGTGGCTTAGCCAAAGGCGAATTGCAATTTAGACCATACATGGAATAGAGATTTTGAGTGTGACCTGGATGCACCAGTATATTTTGCTAATAAAACAATTAGCAAGTTTTATAGTAGTTTTTTAGCTAGTAGAATAACGTGAGAACTTTATTATGTCTGGTGTCATCTCAAGCTTTTATCACATTTTACACATGCATTAAGATGATTTAAGTATTTTCTGATGTTTCAGTGCGGACGAACAACTTTTGTGTGCAGGTTTTTAAAACTAAAACCCCATTTTCAAATGTATCTGGATTCATGTAGATGTAGCCTGAGAAAGACAGAATGGAGAAAGTCCATTCTTCATTCTGAATTAATCCTTATTGTATTCACTCAGAGTCTTGTTGTCAAATAAAGATATTTTCAACTAATGCTCTTGCACTTTCCCATCATTCCATTCAGGCCAGTGATAGTGGAGATCCCTCATTTTGCTTCCTTGAGCCGAGGTGATCGGGAACTAGTGGTTCTGCGAAGTGAGAATGGCTCCGTATGGAAAGAGCATCGGAATCGCTATGGCGATGATGTTCTGGAGACCATCCTCAATGGAATGGATGAAGGTAGGTTTTATGTTTCACTAAGAGGAATTTCCATAAGCCCAAAGAGAAAAGAGTTTTATTTTCTCTTTCAGTAATGTAGCAGGAGGTACTAGAAGACAAATTACATATCACTTTACATTACATTTCCCCCACAATTATTTCTGTAAGACTGACCTTATGACCTTGTTTTCTCTGGGTGCCTTCATCAGATCTGGAAAATCAGGAGGAGCTGGAGAAGAAAAGAATCCGGCGCATAATTTCCACAGACTTCCCTCTTTACTTTGCTGTGGTGTCACGTGTCCAACAGGAGAGCGATCTTATTGGCCCAGAGGGAGGTCAGCTGATAAGTAAGCTGGTGCCCCAGGTCCAGGCCATTTTCCCCGACACGGCGGTCACTAAGAGGGTCCGACTTGGCCTACAGGTGAGTTTTCAAAATGTAGAGAGATTGACAGTAAAGCAATATAATCACACATTAGAACCAGAAGCGTCATGCCCATTTAAACTGAACTTGATTATGAGTGCAACTTTCTTTCTTTTTTACCTTTGATGATGATCTTTACAATTATGTATTGTAGGGCAAAACGTTTATTTAAAATGCTGTACACATTGTAAAAAATAAGATCGTAATTATAAAATTAATAATACAAAATTATTATTATTATTTATAAATATATACATTTAAAATATAGTTTCAAGGTTGGTGCATAAATTCAGACGAGAATGACTGAAAATGATCTCAGGAATAACTGATTTATGAATCTTTGTGTCTTTTTCTTCTTCTCTTGTCTCTACCCAGGCCCAGCCAATCCCTGATGAGCTGCTGACTCGGCAATTAGGAAACCAGGCCACATTCAGTCCCGTTGTGACAGTAGAGCCTCGTCGGCGCAAATTCCATCGACCAATTGGGCTGCGTATCCCTTTACCTCCATCTTGGAGGGAGAGTGCACGCGATGCCGGCGAAGGAGACACTACTAGCCTCCGCCTCCTCTGCAGTGTTATTGGTACAGTCCGGTTCTGATATATTTCAAAGAAAACATTGTCTGAAATTGATATTTGTGTTTGGGAGAAAGGAAGATTGTCTTGAACGCCAGTCTTTTCCAGCCTCGGCCAGATTTGATGTAGCTGTCCTGCCAGGCTGCTTGGAAAAGGCTGAAACAGACTGGTGTCCTGCCTGGAGAGGGACACTGGGATAAAGATAGACTCAGCAAGTTCATTCCAGATGGTGTTGGTTGAAAAAAAAAAAGGATTTTATAAAAAAAAATGTAAACCTTCTGCAGGTGGCACCGCTCCAGCTCAGTGGGAAGACATCACTGGCACTACCAAGCTCATGTATTCCCACAACTGTGCCAACTTCACCACCAATGTGTCTGCAAGGTGAGACACAAAAGCATTCAAGGATAAAGCATCTTGGAGCAAATTTACTGAACAGTTGCACTACATTGTGCGTTGTATTTCTGTACAAAAAGATGCATCTTATTTATTAAACACCTATATCTGTTTTAAGCAGTCACTAAATGTGTTAAAATAGCACTGTACCATAAATAATATAAGGTCATTGCCATTCTTTTCATCGCTAACATACCTCATTTTACTGTAAATTAGGCTCATTCTAAATTGTGCTTTATTCAAAAGCCTCAGCACTATTTTCTTTGCACAATTAACGTTGAAAACAATTCATTCTTGGTGAATTCCCCCGTCAGGGTCCTGGCAGCTGCCATTACAGCCCATTTATATTTATACACATTTACATGTAAACATTGTCTCTTGTGACCCTATTGTACGTGTGTCTGTCCGCTGTTTCGCTGCAGGTTCTGGCTGGCGGACTGTCCACGAACGGCAGAGGCCGTGACCTTCGCCAACCTGCTGTACCGTGAGCTGATGTCAGTTCCATACATGGCCAAATTTGTTGTATTTGCTAAGATGAACGATGCCAGAGAGGGCCGCCTGCGCTGTTACTGCATGACTGATGACAAAATAGACAAAACCCTTGAGTTGCACGAGAACTTCTCCGAGGTGGCCCGCAGCAGGGACATTGAGGTTAGCTGACATAAAAGCATATGTATATGTCATATATATTTTTCTGATGTACACTAAAAAAAATCAGAAAAATAAATAGGATCAATTTTCTTTTAGCATTGTTTTTTAACACCAGTGTCTTTTCTGAATGTGTTTGATGTGCATTTTGCAATGCATGATGTGTCTTGCCTCATTTGAATTTTTCTTAAAGTTTTAATTTATAGGATTCTGTTCTTACAATGCAGTTTAGATCTCATTTTTAACAAATTTTTCAGCATTTTCAAAGGGAATAAGTAATAAAATGCAAGTTTATGATGCAGCTGTGTACTGTACATAATGACGTCGACTCGCTACATTAACGCTAAGTCTCTGACTCATTCTGAATCACTGCTCTCCTTGTGTTACTCCTTCCTTTTCCTCCCACAGGTGATGGAGGGGATGCCGCTGCACTTAGAATGTTCTGGAAACCTGGTGCCCGTGAGGAAAGCAACCCAGCAGCCTCGTAGCTTCAGTTTCCAGGCCTTCAGAGACAACCGGCTACCTGTCTCTGTAAAGGTCTGTACATCTGTCTTTCCCTATCTATTTCTGTCTATCCGTGAGAGTGTCTTAGGAAATATAGGCTGATAAGTTCATGTCGGCTTCCCTTGTTTTAAAAATATAATTTTTTCAGTCAACCTACACTTATTTGTGTCATTGAGTGTCATCTTGTGTGTGTGTGTGTGTGTGTGTGTGTGTTAGCATTGTCTGATCATCTTGTCAATTTTATGTACTCCCTAATGTCTTCAGTAGGGCTGCACATGTATTCAAAATAAAATGGCCTAGTGTGACCCCAGAGCGTTCAATTAAAGCTTGCACTGCACTTTCTTTATAGTGTCCATTGTGAGCGTAAAGTGCTTCTTGTTAACTATATTTTTACAAGAATGCAATTTCAAACATTTTGTCATTATAGAAGTTATTAAAATCTAATAATGTGACACTGGGTCAAAGCTAAAAATTATAACAGGAATATTACAGATGCTGATTATGGCTATTTTATAATATATTATTATTTTAATTGTTACAAACTGCTCCGAGACTAGGGTTGGAGATCCAAATGCAGTGTTATTGGGACAATCCAGAATCGTAATCCATATAACAGGCCAAGGGTCAAACAATTCAAATATAAAACAAGGTCCAAGAAACACAGGCAAACAGGGTAATCCAGAACAACAAGCAGAGAATCAAAAACCAAGACACAGAAAACCAGTGTATCGCTCAGAATGGCAGTGTAACACAAATACAAGACTTCGCAACGAATGACTGAAAACACTGGGCTTTTACTGTATAGGCAAAGCTAACCAGATAATGACACACAGCTGAATGTAATCACACATAATGAGAACAGGCAATGGATACTGGGAAATGGAGTTCATGATGAGATTGCACAAGAGACTAAAGGAGTGCCCTCTGGCGGAGATCGTGGGCACTCCAGCTGGCTGATGTGACATTAATATTCTAGATAATATTAAAGCTGCAGTCCGCAGTTTTTCCTCTTTATCGCCATCTCTGTTTGAAATCTGCAATTTCAGTCATTCGCGGAATTATCAACTTTACGTGAGTTGTACCTCGGCACGGCACAGCGCGGAAGAATCCAATGTTTTGAGGAGAATGTGCAGCTGTCAGTCACCGCGCCAGTGTGGATACAGGCATTCAGAATCACAGATTCTACTTTTTGGAAGTATGACCAACATACGAATTTTCACCCTAAAATGTAATCTGAACAAGTAAGTAACATTACTTGTAACATAAAGTAACAAAGTAACATAAAGCGCACTGATGAAATTTAACGATCGATTATCATATCACGTCAAACCGCGCAAATTATACTTTGTTCTCAAATTGTTAATGTTAACAACGTCGGCATTGCGTGACTACATGTAATGCCCTTCAGATATGTATCCTTGTCTTCGCATGGGTCCGGTTGCAGTCTCTTTTTCCAAACTCTCAGTCCAAAGTCTTTTGCATTTTACAGCGGGTGAATCTCTAGTTGTCACTGGTGATTGTCGTTTGAACCTTTTTGGATCCGCCATCAAATTAAGTTTAATTATATCAAGTGCTGTGAGAAAAGGCTATAAATCTCCACCTCCAACATCCTCACTCGCAATATCGCCTACTAGCCGAGACTCCTTCTTTATGTGTACAGATGTGACGTAATGACGCAAAGACATGCTCGAATCTCCCGCGGAAATCCACCAGTACCACTGGAATTAAAAATATTATTATAAGCTTACCATTTTGAATCGAGCTACAGCAAGCAGATAGTTTTGAACACTGGCTGGTTATGTTCTTGCTCAAATTTATTTTGGATAATTTTTGACCCAAACAAGTTACGGACTGGAGCTTTAATAAATAATATTCTAATATAAAATTATTATTATTATTTATAATTTATTATGTCAAGTTATTATACTATTTTATAAAAATGTGTTATTCTAATATTCTAGATCATATTAATAAATCACATTCTAATATGAAATTATTATTTATTATGTCCAATTATTATACTATTTTATAATAAATTCTGTTGTATTAATATTGTATGTAATATTAATTACATTAATTATTAAATTAATTAATTATATTATTAAATTATTAGTAGTAGTATTTTTATTGTTAGAATAATACTAATGTTGAAGTGGTGTTTTTTTTTGTTTGTTTGTTTGTTTTTTAAATGTGTGAGTGGAAAGTTGACAAAAGAGATAAAGTGGTCAAAAGACTGGACAAAAGATATAAAGATATGCGTGTCCTCTTTCAAGTCCACTTCCAGTGTGAATCCAAACAGAACTGGGTACTTTTTTTAACTCGGTTCACTTTTGGATCATTTTCTTTTTAAGAGGACTCAATTGTGAACACCCTTAAATAGTAACACTTATTTTTTTTTTACTGGCAGTAGAGCGTGGATAAAACGACCAAAAGGCATTGTTTGCCTAGTTTTTGAGAGCTTCTGTTTCCATGTAATGTTATGCTATTTGGTTCTTTAAGTAAGCAATATGAGATGTTACATCTTTATCATATCGCAGTTGGAATCAATATTTGTCAATATTTTTGGTCCAAATCGTGCAGCCCTTGTCTTCAGTGTCTCTGATTTTTCCCAGTGCTGTCTTTCTCTCTTCACTTGTCTCCCTCCCTTCATTTTGGTGTCTGTCATTGTGGCTTACACTCTGCATCTCTTTCTGTGATTGGTCAGCCACAGACGAGCTGCTCTGTGTTGTATTTTTGGCTCTGTGGCGTAGTGGTTCACCTCGTAACTGTTGTATTAGTCACGTGAGCATGCCCTTAACTCTTTCACCTTCTAGCCTGCCTGCCTGCCTGTCTGTATGTCTGTCTCACTGTCTCTCTCTCTCTCTCTCACGGTCACTCACTTACTGTCTGATCTCACAGACGGCCAGGTAAAAGTAAAGGTAAATCTCTCTGTCTCTCGCCTGCCTATGGACTGCCTCCATCCCCTTCCCCACCTCCCGTCAACCTGTATGAGTCACAGCCGGGCAGCTGCTCTGTCTAACACCTTTAATCTCTCTCTTTCTCTACCTCTCTCTTTCTTCTCTTTCTCCCTTTATTCATCTTCCCCCTCTCTTTTGTTCTTATTTGACCTTCGCCTCATTTTCCCTCCTCTCTTTCATCCTGTTCTCCTCTCTCCATCTGTTTCTCCCTCCCTCTCCATTTCCCCTGGTTCATCAGGTGAGAGACGGCAATAAGGAAGCCACCGGGTTCCTGTCCTTCCTGCGCAAGTCCACCAAGTACGAGGACACGCAACACGTGCTGTGCAACCTCAACATCACCATGCCTCCCTGTGTCAAGGTGCTGTCGCTGTTCATTACCTCTGTGATCACTTACACCTGCACATGATCTCACGAACTCTATACTGACGAGAAGTTTTTGTTTCACAGAAACACATTGATCACAGCTGTGTTTTGTCACTCAACCTCAGTAAAAGAAAAACTGATTTTTGGACTAACTTGGGCAGCCTCTGAGAAATCCAATTCCATGTGCATTCGAATGTCTGTGATTGCTGATATTCCACTGTTCAATGTGAATTTTAATCTATTTTCTTGGTAAATAGCAGTTGATGGTTCAAGGACTACCCGCTGGAATCACATCCAACATTAAAACAAGATTAAAATAAAATATTGTACTTCAAAATAATAACTAACTAATGAACTACGTACATAAATATGTAAAACATATCAATAAATACTTATCATTTTTTTTTTAAATATATTATTTATAAATAAATGTTATTTAAGAATCTGTCAATTAAGTTTAAAATAAAAACTTTTTTTTTAATTAAAAAATTAATTAAAAAAAATTCCAAATGTTTGGAAAACTAATCCTGTCTAAAAGTATTTTTTATGACCTTCCAAACTCGAATGACATTCATATGAATTTGTTATAAGTAACTAATCACCAGCTCATAATGGAGTTACTATATGTATTGTCTAGAGTAGACCACTCTAACTCTAAGAAATTGTCGTTCTTTTTTTGTGAACATGACATTTAGGATATATCTAGAAATATCTCAAGATATTCCTTAAAGGTACATATATTGTTCAGGCTACATAAACCATTGTCATTCCAGTTAAACTGATTAAAATCTACTTAAATGGATTAAAATTGAAAGAGAAGTTGGGGCCATGCCACAGCAGTCAGCACATTTGCTCCTAATACTTTAAGTCTTGGGGCTAATATAGGTGATGGAGGTTTGAGCTTGACTTATTCTCATTCCCTCTGTCCTCAGTGTGTTTCTGTGGCTACACTATATTTCTGAAAAAATGCAGGAAAGAAACTGAGACCAAACATAAAATGGAAAAAAATGATGCACATTAAAGACATTAAAAAAGTATGTAATGTATTGCACAATTCATCTTGGTTTCATCCTATCCTCACATCAAATGCTCGTCAAATGTGAAAATAAAAAGTTTGAAAAATTAAAAAAGGGAAATAAAAGGAGTTGGTACAGTTGGCATTTCAGATGTAATATTGTCTTCAGATTCTCTTCCTGTGTATTACAACACCTTCAAGCTATTTTTATACATGAGCACTTTGCCTTGATGTGCATAGAGCTACATGCTCCAATAAAATACTGTATGAATGACAAAACTGCTGTAGCACTGTGCATAATAATTTTTTTCTCTCAGGTGGTGGGTAGCGATGAGCGGCGGAGAACGTTGACCCCTCTCGCCCTGAGGGAGAGGTACAGCGCCCTGAACGAGTCCAGCCTGGGTAAGACATAACGTCCCCTTAGCTGTGGAGGAGGGGGGCTTCTGAATGCTGTACCCATATCCTTGCTTCTATACCTGCCCAATCTCTCATGCATGGCTGTGACTGGGCATTGGATGCTGAGCACTGCCCTCTTTTATGAGGGTGATGCTGGGATTGCACTCACAGGGGCCACATCTAACACAAACAATTCAGAGAAACGGGTGGCCCTTACATTTACTGAGCGAATGAGCAGTAATGAAACGCATGGTGCTGGTTTGATTCCAGAGTAAATACTCTTAGCATGGCAAACTCTAGCTTTGAGAATGAGCTTTAAAGGAAAAGGACTGTTAAAAGTTGCCTGTTTAGACGTGTAGAAGGTTGGAGGAGTGATTATAGAGGGGGTTCGGGAGGTTCAAGGTGGCTTTGCCGTCCGAAACGCATCACATCTTCATTGTTCTCGAAGCGGATGAAGCCAACTAATGTATGTAGTGTGCAGATTTTGACCAGTTCTTGGTAAGTATCGATCAACGTTATAGTTTCAGTCATCAGTTATAACTAATCTTAGTCATTTTACTGGATCTGGTCATTTTTACAGGATGTTTTACCATACAGTATAGTGGCTTTAATGTCATTACATTGATTTCATATATAGTTCTCAATAAAATATATGGATGCCTTTCAAGAAGAGGCCGTTTTCATTACATTCCTGTTTTTCATGTCTTTATTGACAAGATCTTTACTGAACATGTTCATTATTCATATATAAATATATATATATATATAAATATATATATTTATATATGACCGATAAGACCATATACTAACCAACCCAAGGATATGGTTATATTGTATATGTGATCTATAGTATAGTGTTTATTATATTAAGTCTCCTGGGTTTTTCAGGAAAAGCCACAGTGTAATATATATTATCCACTAGCATAAAGTTGTAAGCTGGGTATGTTATTAAAGTGTTTCATCATTGGACCGTCTGTGAAAACTGTGGTATATTTTGTCTTTGATTCAGCCACTGTAAATGTCATGGAGAGAACTGAGCTAAAGATCACAGTAATAGCAGAACAGCTGGGACTGAGCTGGACCGGTAAGAGCTTTGCCTCTTGTATCTCTTTTCATTACCTCTCAGTCTTTTTCCCCTCAACTCACATTCTATAATTGCTTCCGTCTGGTTTCGTTGTAGAACTTGGGAGGGAACTACAGTTCAGTGTGGATGACATTAACCGGATGAGAGTGGAGAATCCCAACTCTCTCCTGGACCAGAGTTTGGCTCTGCTCAACCTGTGGGTTAGTCGAGAGGGCAAGAAAGCCAAGAGTGAGGATCCGTAATAAAAACACTCTACCACTTTGTGACTTTATCCGCCTTCCCTAGTGAAAAATAAATATACTAAAATGTAATTGAAATACATTTATTTTATGCTACAAATACATTTACATATTTATGAACTTATGTAACATAACTATCCTGCAGTTGTACTTTTAGTATACTAAATTGGTATGCTTCAAATCTGCTAAATTGGAACAAATAATTTTGTACTTAATGCACTTTAGATATCAAGAAATAGTGGTCCAACTAAAGATATACTATGCTAAAATGGAACTATTGCAAATATACTTTAGGTACACTTTAAATATCTTGCATTTAATATCCTTACTAATAGTGATATTAAAACACATTTAGGCTTAATATTAAAGAATGTGCATTGTGCATTAAAGAAGTACTCCAAATAAAGTTTAATTATAATATTTATATCAGTAAGTCTCAAGCGATATGTCAGTAAATATATAAATGGACTTGTAGTGTACTTAGTATGAAATAAATGTATTTAAAATATATTTTGGTATACGTTTTTTTCATTAGGGTGTGGCAACATGTTAGTAAGCTACTTTGTGTGAACGTGCGAGACTTCTGACTCATCAGCCGCTATAGGGAAGTATCCAGATGAATAACAAAGATGAATAAAACGGTAAAACTATTTGCTCTACTTACCAGCGTTTCATAATGGACTGTTTTTGTTCAGTTAAAATAACAAAGCAGATGAGACCAGAAGCCTTGCACATTTAAGTTACAAATGGCCACATCCACTCTTGTGTTAAAAATACGGTGGATACATCAGTATTATTATTATAAACTAAGCAAAACTATTGCCATAAAAAGTTGTCATGGCCAGAAACAGTAAATTTAACTGCAAAGCACTGCTGAAACGAACTAAAACTAAACTGAAATTAAAAGCACAAAACTATAACATACACAGAATTATTTCATTTACAGAAACTAGTTTTACTCTTTATGACAGTTTCCTTGTCTCTGCATGCTACTATAACACTTCCTCCATCATCATATCTTCAGTGGAGAACCTTTATGGAGCGTTGAAGAACATTGACCGGGCAGATATTGTGAAGTGTCTGGAGGCTCAGGCTCCACAGGGTCTTCCCGGGGCGGTGGAGGAAGGAGCCTGCAGGCTGGATGATCGGGACTCCACTCTGCTTTCACCTAGTGTCATCAATGGTAAGAACAGACTGCAGCTTGCACTGATCTTCTAATCCTCTGTCCGTTTATCAATGAACTGACATTAGACTCCATGTAAAGCAAGGCTTAGATGTTTGAAGCTGCATGGGCTGGCCGCTAATTGCATACTAGCTCTAGTCTCCCAAAATCTAGAGCATGAAATTTGGGTACGAGACAGGATTTAATGAGAATTCTTTTCTATTTATCTATTTTTTTTCCACTGATTAATCAGGCATGCCATGGCAATGCCACCATTTTCAGCCTTTTCCATTCATTATTACTAAACAAACCTCTCAGTAGGGAAAAACTGTTATCACGTGATGGCATTACTTGACAAATATGAGATTTGCTTCAGTGCAACAGGTACATAACAAATGCAAATACAAATTTGTATAGCAATATATATATAAGTCAAAGTAATTATGATAATGGGAACATTGGAGTGGGAGTGTGTGTGTGTGTGTGTGTGTGTGTGTATGAAATGTTATACAGTTTATATCCTTTATTAAAAATTTTCCCATTACCATAATATTTATATACTGTATATATGTTTTTCTCATATTTTCTCGTCCAAACTTACAAAAAGGTTCTATGCAATTGCAATACGCATAGCATGATAGTATAATTTGGTGAAATGCAATTGGCAAATACTATGCAAATTTCAATAAAACTTTATATAGAAAAATGATATTGGGCAAAAATGACATTGGGAAACCATATCATCCCCTGGTTTCACAGACAATACTTAAACCTAGTCCTAGACTAAAATGCATGTTTGAGCTGTTTTAACCGAAAGCAACTTGCACTGATATATCTTACAATACGTCAGTGCCATTATTTCTCAAGATGCACACCAGTAACGTATTTTTCTAAGGCATGTTTGTAAAAGCTATGTAAATGTCCTAATTTAACTAAGGCCTAATCCTGGCTTAATCTAAACCCTGTCTGTGAAACCAGGCCCATATATTTATATTTAAAAGCATGCAAATAGGGCATAGGACGGAGCAGTTGTGTAAGTAAATAGCGAGAGTGATATTGTAGCAGTTATGCTCCAGAAAACAAATCGAATGTGTTTTTAAAAATATGCCAGTGAGGCACAGATAGGAGTATGTAGGCTCGTATGATGATTACTTAAAGAGAAGACAACAGGCCTCCATACTTGTGTCTGCACCTCTCCTTCTCTCTTTTCCTCCTCCTCTCTTTCTCCAAACATGTCATCTGCAGCCCAGCCGCCCTACTCTTCCTCCTCACTGCTCTCCTCTTCGACCTCCGACCTCATAATGACCTCCTCTGGGCCTCCTCTTTTCCTGTCATTCTAGTTTTTGTTTTGTTTTGTTTTCTAATTCCTATTTTGTGTGGGACCTGTGATGTGTCTGTACGCATGCGCATGCTGCTTGACGTGCTCTTTCTTTGTCTTTTCTGGGGAAAAAGGTATTTGTTGGGCCTTCGACTAAAACGAGGCCTTCGTTTATGTTGCTCTATAACAAACTTGTGTATGCATGGCATGCTTTCAACGTATGGGTTTCTTCCTGTTTATATTTTTACTGAGTGGCGCTTGAACTCCTGAATTTCAGTAACTTCAGTAACTCTTCTTCTCATCTTTGGTGAATATATTGATGTTGTTGTTTTAGGCCCTGCTGTTCTGTTGTCAACAGTTTACATAATGCTCTGGAAAATGGATCTGTGACCATATCATGTTGCAGAAGCATTTTTGGAATGTTATGTGTTAACTGATATATTGCTGTTGTTGGTGTTTTTCCAACGTGTTTGTGTGTGTCACGCAATGATTGTGTGACACCATTTTCAACTGCAGGGCTCTGTGATGTTGCTGATGTCATGGACTGTATTCACAAAAAAGGAAATTGTGTAGTCATTAGGGCCCCTAGTGGCTAAAAACTGAATCGATAACATTTCACTTGTATAACCTTTATTATACCTGGTTAATCCTTTAAGATTAAAATCTAAGAGAGATCTGGCTAAAATGGTTGCATAGAACAATTAAACAATAGAAACAACGTTTGGAAAAATATTCACAATATTAAATATAAAGATGTGAACGCAGTCCTAATCTCGTGTGTGTGTGTGTGTGTGAGAGAAATATCTAACCTCTCTGTCAGGCCATAATCAGATCACTCAGAATGATGTTGTGTGTGAAATCAAGATGTTTCAGAGCCATGATTTTGTGTTTTGCATTATGTTGTGGGTTGTGCTGTAATGTGATGTGTGTTTGAGTGTGTTTACATTTATTTGCACGCGTACCTGTGTGTGTGTTTAGGTGTATGTCTTCGTATGTGGCTTTTGTACGATCAACGAAGCTTTTACACATTTGCCACATGTGTTGCTTTTTTTGTATTTGAGTGACAGTAGATGAATTGTGTCTCACTGTGTGCACTGTGTGTGTCGGACTCACGTGTGTGTTTTCTCATTACTGGGGGCACAGTGAAGGTCTCCACTAAGTCATCACTATAAATCATCCTCATTCTCTTCTTCGATATTTCTTCATTTCTTCTTTTCATTATCATTTCCTTACAACAGTGGAACATCAACCATCCATGCATCCATTCACCTACATACAGCTACAACATTTGCTCATATGATGCCAGTTGTTTGATAAATGAATACAAGTAATAATAGCTTAATGCTACAAAAAAACAATTGATGAGGAATCAGTTATCTATCACGTCATATCATCATATATGTTTTATATATCTCTGCATACTTTGTTTATATGCTTACATTGTGAAGCTTAAAAAATAATTGAAGTTTTAATTTAGCTTAAACCAGAGAAATTGAACAAGAACAAGTATCTGTCAATGGGTATGAAAATGACTTTTTCATTTGAATTAAGTAGATTTTTCTGAACCCATTGACAGATATTTGTTCTTGTTTTAATCATAAAATCATTTTCACAAGATTTCTTATCTTATGTCCGTATTAATCTTTTAAATATTTGCACTGGAAAACAAGACAAAACTACTAAAAAGAACATCACTTTTTTTTTCCAGTGTGATCGGAAAGTACAGTAAAAGTTACCCATTATTATGTGTTTGCGAGCAGAGCTATTCAAACTTAAAGCTATTTTTATTTTGTAAAAAAATTTTTTTTTAAAGTAATGGAGATCTGTTGGAAATTGTATTTTCAAACTTTGAAGTGTTGCTAATACAACTCATTGTGTGCTTCCTAGACATTTACATTTAGAGAACATATTGATTTTCCTTAATTGGTCTTAAAAGGTCTTAAATTTACGTTTATAAAACCTGCAGAAACCCTGAAGATGCAAAATGTCTCTTTAATACTCTTGTGTGTTGGTATTAATCATGCATACTATTGCACACATCATGCAAATACAAATCAGTTATATATATATTGCAATTCCATGTTCATTTGAACACTTCCAGGAATGTATATCCTACATTCTGACCATACATACAAGAGAAAAGCCATTGCTGCATACTCATTAAGCTGGTCATGTACACAACTTTCATACATATTTGAGAAAGAAAGATTAGACATGAGTCAATCCTGAATCCGAGCATATTAGTGTGTATGTGGGAGGGGGAAGGTATATTAAAGGAATATTCTGGGTTTTCAACATATTGATATATTTTAAATGTCCCTCGTTGTTTGCAAATGTTTTGGGAACATTTCAGTTTACTTTAAATGAACATTTTTAAAATGTTTTATTGCCTTAGCGTATGAATAATACATTAAAGTTGGCATGAAATAAAAATTCACCCTATATATTTAGTAAATTCATGTTATTATTATTAATATCAACTTATTTTGAACGGTTCATCCATGTATTTTCTTTTTTTAAGTTATATTTTTTGGTGGCTTTTTGCCTTTATTTAGATCATTAGGAGGAGAGACAGGAAATCATGGGAGGGAAGAGAGAGTAATTGGACCTGGACTCGAACTCGGGTCGCCGAAGTGCAACCGCACTATATGTGAGAGCACTTGCCCACACGGTTAAGTCTAATTAACATGTCATAACTCAATCTTCTCCAATCGTTTCATCAGCATAAGCCCCACCCCTTTATTACAATCGACCGCAAGCTCCATCCAGTCAACAACTGATGGCTTGAACCAAGACCCAGACCCTGGCTTTCTTGCGTTCTGAACCCTGCTTTTAAACCTGGGGTTAGCACCGCTTTTTAACTGTGGTTATTAAACCCTGCTCTGGAGTAGTATGAAACAATGTGAAGTTAGAATGTTATGGCAACATACACCCAATTGTGTGTCATATTCACCTGCGTTGGTCAATCACGGAAACAGCGCATTGTTTCAGCGTTTGAGAGGGAAAATGTCAAATGGTGATGGTAAACAGGTGAATTGGAGTGAAGAAACAACAGTTTTATTCTTACCTTTATAGTCCGAAAAGTCTATTCAGGAACAACAGGGCTGTATATGATACGAGGATGCACTATGCTAAAGCCATTATTTTTCAAATGCCCCCAGGTTGAAAACCCCAGAATATTCTTTTAAAGGTTACTTTGAAAGTGGATTGCTTGTTGTGAGTGAACAAGAATGACCTGCAGAATGACCTTTCTGTGGCCTTGTTATAATGCTAATGCTAAAATCAAGACTCCTTGCATTTAAGCACATCCGTTCACGTATATTTCCAGACTTTGAGTGCACTCCGAGCACTGTGTTCTGCATGACCTTTCTGAGAGGGTCAGGACTCCCCACGTACCCCCACTGTGTCTGTGTGGTGTTAGCGTTGCCTTTCTTGTCTGGCCATCCCTCAGGTTACGGGCTGGTGCAGGAGGAGCTGCTCTCCCCCGCTTCTATGCAGTACAGCCTACCCTCCCCGCTCGGCGCGGAGCCCTACTGGCAGGAGGTGTCAAGCCTGGAGTGTGCGCCCATCGCCACCACTGAGGAGGACACCATGATGGAGATGTCGGATGTACAGGTGTGGCCGGCGGGGGTCAGTCCGTCCCTGGTGACCGTGGAGGACTCATCCCTGGACGGCAGCAGCCGCGCAGACGACTCCGAGGCCAACACGTTGAGCCTGCCCTGCAGTAGTTTGGGGAGGCCCAGCAGTGGAGCCAGCGGGGCCAGCGGCTCCATCATGGAGCTGGAAGAGGAGGAGGAGGAAGAGGAGCTTGAGGAAGACGACATACAGCACGAGCCAGTGTCCGCAAGTGCGGAAAAGGCATGGGCTAGCGGCGCCGTCCCAAAGGCAAACAACGGGCAGGCTGGAGGTCAGAGGTCGGAGGGCAAGAGGACAGAGTGGGCGGCGGCGGCGGGCGGCAGTGTGATAGGTGTAACTAGAGGAGGAGGAAAGGGTGGAAAAGGGGCAAGTTCAGAGGAAAAGTTTTCTGTTCTTACAGGGCAACAGCTCTACGCTCAGTTATGCGAGAGAACTGGACTGACCCGAGCGCTAGAACACAACGGGGACAGGTATGGATTACTTTAGTATCCCATGTTACTCCACAAGCATTAAGGTCTGTTCACACCAAGAACACTAACTGTGTTGGCATCCACAAAACACACAACGACGCTTTAAATGCTCAAGCTCTTTAAACTCGGGTGGATTCTGATTGGCTGTAAATGTTTTTTTCTTTGATCAGCAGGAAAAAAATCGCTCTGAAAGTGATTCCAACAATATCGTTCCTCTCTTTCATCGTTATTGTTGTTATGTGGACTTCCTTATTCTCATAGAATTACACGATATCAACCATGGATCTTGGGGGGGGGGGGGGAGGAAATCTGATGATTTGTAAAGGCCTAATAGTACCTAATTCGAGGATGCTGAGATAGAAAATATAAATAAAAACTTTTAATCACTTACAGTTTTTTTCACAAAATAAGAATGAAGATTTTTCAAAAGCCATCAAATGTCAAACGTTTCTGTTTTAATGACAAAACAAAGTAAAAAAAATGTTTGATTTAACTTGCAATCTTCAAAGGAGTGGACAAATATGTTAGTAAATAATGTCAAGGAACTTTTCATAAACACAATTTCTTTCACAAAATCTGTATTTTTTCGCAAAATTTTCTGTCGCTGTTTGGATGTGGTAAAACACCCACAGATGTAGCAGAAAACCTCAGGGTCATGTTTGCATTTTCTTCTATCACTGGCCATAATTTTAACCTTGATATCACGATTAGGCATTAAATAATGTCATACGTGTGAAAATCGGCTGAGAATTGAACAAATAGTTCTTACTTGCCTCAGAGAAAGATAGAGAACCATGTCTTTCTGGCAGTTTTTCTGGTGATTAAGGAATAAAAACGTCTTCTTGACCTTACAAAATGATTGTTGAAAGCAAACACGCCACGAAATGCACTTTATATTTTGTGAGAAGGTGTGAGGTGCTAGAGCAAAGCAGGCACTATTTTTGGGATCAGCACCCCAAAATTAGTTAGAAACAAGTATTGGATTTCATTCAGCAAATATGATGCAGGGCGGTGTTATTAACATTTTAAAGTTATAGATATCATAGTTTTTGGTGTGAATGGCCCTTTAGACGGATAGCATTTACTCCATCTTTATCCATCCCTCCTCCGCAGGCTCGGGGGCGGCGCCTTCCAGCCTTACTCACAGGAGAAAGACCCCCTCCAAAGCTGGTCTCAACCCAAAGCCAGGCCGACCATGGAGGCCATGATGTCATCGTCCCAGGACCACAATCAGTCCCGTGTAGCACAGGAGGCCCTGCTTACACCGGTATGTGATACAGGCCATTCGGAGGTCCTGCGGGGGCGTCTGCTGGGCACTCAGCCCTTTGATAAAGGGCTGGGCTTCTCCCGTCAGGAGGGGGATTTACGGGCATGGGACCAGGACAGGCGGAAGGCACAGGTGTGTGTCCTGGGCCTGTCCAGTCTGAGCAAAGAGCATGTTGTTGGACACGGTCTTGACTTCAATTAGTCAATAATGATATTTGAACTATTATTCCCTCCTTGCAGAAGGATGATCCGATAGAGATCACCAGTGATCATCTACACGAAGAGCAGTTCACTGATGAGCATGGGAATGTCGTGACCAAGGTGGGTCCTCCGTTTTCTTTCATGTTTATAATAGTATTGAACCAATATATCGATTGATCTGGCTGATTATATTTCACCTTTTTTGAGATTATCCTCATCAATTCTGATGGGTAATGTAGTTTCTGTTTTCTAATATTTCATAAATATTATTTTAATAATTGTTTAACTTGTTCCTTTTTTTTGTCTATTTGTTATTGTTAAACTACACTAATTCTATATATACTACCTTTCAAAGATTTTGGACTCTTGTGTTTTGTAATGTTTTTAAAATAAGGCTGCATTTATTTGATCAAAAACACAGTAAAATCAGTACTATTGTGGAATATTATTACAGTTTAGAATAACTGATATATGAATAGAATTTGAATTTATTTTAAAAAGTTATTTATTCCTGTGTTGGCAAAGCTCAATTTTCAGCATCATTACTTCAGTCTTCAGAGTCACATGATCCGTCAGAAATATGCTGATTTGCTGCTCAAGAAACATTTCTTGTTACTATCAAAGTTATTAAAATGGCATTTTTGGTGGAAACTGGTACATTTTATCAGGATTCTTTGATGAATATAAAGTTTAAAAAACAGCATTATTTTAAATATAAATGTCTACTTTCACTTACACTACACTACTTACACTTATGATGAAGAATGATGGATGTATATTTATTTACAAAATTTGCGGTAAATTTTGATACCACACAATGTACATTTTTAGGTTATTTTATGAGACATTTCTTACAGTATGTCTATATTTTTATTGGCTATTGGCTGTCCTGTAGTGGTGTCTTCTTTTGAACCCATTCACCAAAAAGATTTGCTCAGATTCGTTCAATGTTTTGTTCAGTTGCCCCTACCAATTCCAATATGACTCGAGTAAAAGTCTTAGAGAGTATCTGATTTTAACAGAACACAAGTATTTTACTTGTACTGAATGTTGGCTCAAAGATGCACTAGTCCTCAAAACAATGAGAAATGCCAGGGAAAACAAGAAACAGTTTATTTGTGAGGATATCTCAGGTCATGAAATTTGTTCAAACTCGATTTGGTCATATTTTTTCTCCCTCCTTTTCTCCAGTTGGGTGTGGATGTGAAGAGGGATGTCCAGACTGTGAAGCGCTCCAGTCTGCGGAGATTAAAGCACTGAAATAAACACAAACTGTCCTGAAGGTACGGGACAGGGAAAATGATTGGTGCATTACATAAGGAACAACTTAAAACCCATTGGGCGAGCTAGCTTTGCTAAACTTGAACGATACAGACATCAGTTTTATGTTTTAGCTTGAGTGACTTTGCTTCAGTCTCTTTGAAGGAGCTATTTGTTCATGAAGGATTGCTCTTCCAGGGTCGAACATCCACTGCCAAACCATCCTTCACCTACACAAGACTGGGAGACAGAACGATACATGGAGCGATGAAAAAAACCCCAAAAAAAACATGCAGCAAAAGAACAACACATCGCACCCAAGTCCTACAGTCAAGCAACCACGGAGTGTCACTGGAAAACAAGGACGAGGCGTTCTCTACCTGTAGTTTTGTAACATTTTTAACAGAAGAAGATAAAAACATACAACTAGCATAGGGCATGAACTTTTTATACAAAAACATGAAGAAAACCACCCAAAAAAGCAACAAAAAGTGCTTCCTGTCAACTGTAAACGCATGACTGACTGCTGGTGCATGACCTATGAGCTGTCATTATCTAAAAAACTGAAGGGGTACAAGGTAAAGGGCCGTTCCAGGACTGGCAGTTGGAAGGGGGAAACCTTTGGACCTTTGATCTTGAAAATGAGAGACTCTTGAAACAAGGGGTCTTGGGAACACAACAGCCCAAAAAAAAAAGAAAAAAAGCAACAGTTCTTTATTTTGTCAAACAGATTGTCATTACACAGCAGCATAGTGGATGCTAAGCCCGTCACGTCATTTCCCACAGGCCCTTTATCCTGTTCTTCAATGTGATATATGCACTCTAATGCTATGTGAATGTGCGTCGGTGTGTGTGCGTGTGTGTCGGTATCTAACGCATGTGTACTCGCTTCTGGCTTGGTACTGAGCTTTTTTTTCCGGATCGGTCAGAGCTCATTTGGTGTTTGCCATGGGAATGACAACAAGCCACTGTGCTCTCCTACTCGTGAGCGTCCGCGTGTGTTTATTTTCACTTTGTTAAGCGTATCCGTGTTCCTTTGAACTGTCAGCCACCTTTTACTTTTATATCTCTTGTTTTGAATTCAAAGGCCCCCTCCTTTCAAATCCGAACCGATTCGTTTGTTGGAGGTTGCGTAGCTTCGTACGTACAACACCCAAATGGCAACCTATGGAGGGCACGTGCTTTCTCTGTCTGACAGTTCACAACCTTAACCTCCGACCTACCGACCATCCATTCACCCTCATATGTAGCTCAGCTGCTCAACTAAAACCGTCACGTCAGACCATTTCCAGAGACTAATGTAGCATTGCATGCAGGCTAACACCGCTTTTCATGCTGTTCTCTTGGGCCTGCACTCGGCCCGGACATTTTTATTGATTTTATATTTTTAATCAAGCTGTGCTGGTGAAAAAAAAAAAAAAAAAAAAACTATTGTAGCTGTGACGTGTGGGGCTTGGGGACTATCTCTGAGTAACTGCCTTTGTAATGTTTGGGATTTCAGATTGAGTTATGTGACAAGGAAGCGTTTTAAACTTTGATGATGCTCTTCGATTTATTCTTTTTGTTTGTATTTATTTTTCATTTTTTTTCATTTAGATGTACAGTTAAAAATAGACCGATAAATATACAGACAGCACTGTGAAAGTCCACCTTAAAATTGACCCCTGAACTGTGAACTCACAACTGTCTGTCTCACTTTTTGGCTTCTGATGTCTCACAACACATACCAACAAGGTTTTATGGTAACAATGGGAAGCTTAAACTGCAACTTCATGTTACCGGTTCCCTATTAACGTCATTCGCATGTGCATTTTCACCGTTATTCTTTTTTATTTTACTATGAAAGAGCCCAAACATACACAAAAACTCTTGAAGTATAGTCTACCAAAGCAATAATATCAAACGTGCTGCAACAGTTGGAATACTGCGTTGTTGTCGGTGTGCGTGTGTGTGTGTGTGTGTGTTTTTCGGTCTTCGAGCGCCTGTGTGTTCAGTGTATACTCTATTAACCCGACATTTTAGTAGCATTTGTAAGACGTATACGATTCAAGAGATATAACAGCATGCATGAGTAGGGATGGGAATTGATAAGATTTTATCAATATCAATGCCACTAACGATTCTGCTTATCGATCCGATTCTTTAACGATTCCCTTATCGATTCCTGATAGCACTGTGTGGTAAAAAGTAGTCTTTTTCGGGGGAAAATACAAGTTGTTTTATTTGTTTTAAAGCTTACACTTGACTAAGCAAACTGTACTTTTTATGTAATTTATGTAATAAATGGAACCTTATTGTAAAGTGTTACCGATTAGTTATACACCGATTAAACGTCCCGTGAGTTCAGTGTTGGAAAGATCAGTTGTTTTAACCATGAATTAAAACGAATCGGTTCAAATGAGTCATTAGTTCGCGAATTGGACGTGTCATTATCAGACGTGTGCGCGTTGTGTGATTATCCCGGCAGTTGGGACATCTCACAAGATGTGTGTCATCACAGAAAACATTTCATCACTGGATCATTTTTTTTAAGTGTGATTATGTCAGCTGAATGTGCGGAACACTTTTCAGAGAAGATAAGGCAACGTATTTTAGCACAATTCACACCCAGCGGCAATTCAGGAAAAACAAATCTCCGAATGCTCCACATGAAACTTTAGTCTCCCTACCTTACCATCGTGTCGTTTATTTTGATTAATATGTGCGAGGGAGAGAGGAAGACAGCGCTTAGTTTTGAGACTGTGAAGCCTACTTCTGCCTTGCTCCGAAGAGAGAGAGTGCGTGCGCGCGACCGGGGCTCTCTCTCTCTCTCTCTCTGCTCGATCAGTTTAACATGCGCCCTGTCACAAGCGCAGCGGTTCATCTACATTACCAGAGAGAGACAATTTTACTCACTGATCAAATAAGACTTTGCAGGACAAAGATTAGCTTTGGACGCGGTGCTATGGTGCTTGAAAAAGGACAAAAGGGACAGTTGTGAGTTCACGGTCTGTAGCCTACATACTATGGCTGACTCAGAGCAGGAGCATCGATAAGAGGACTCGTTAACGTCGAGGGCATACAATATCGATGGATCGTAAAATTTAGAACCGGTTCTCGAGTGGAACCGGTTTTCGATTCCCATCCCTATGCATGAGTATCTCACACCGTATGCAATTACGTGATCTACATGCCAACTCGAGTTCACTGAACGGTAGCTGTTTCACTTTAATGGACAAGGTTTTTTTGAACGGCTGGCAAGCATAATGAAATCAGGTATGGTGCTCAGCATTTAATCACAGCACAGTAGCTTACATAGTCACGAGCACACCGTGATATACTGACTCATGTAGTTTAATTCGATGGATGTCAATGAGTGAGTGAGTGAGTGAATGAATGAACTTATCCTCCAAACTACAAACAAATATTTATGGAATGCATGGACAATTGGACGAATGACAATGATTGTACTTTCATATTTAAGAAAAGTGTTTAATCAGATCCTAGTGTTTTTGTTTAGTCAATGAAATGAGTGTGCTTTGTGAGACTGCACACTTCCCTTCTCACCAACGCATTAAAACACTTATGAGTTCTGCCTCACTGTATATTGTTTTCTACTGTTCACTCAGGTTTGTGTTGACAGATGATTTCTCTTCCATGATTCTAGTTAATACATACTTAACAGTAAATCCTGTGTCCACTCAAAGGAGTATAAGGATTATCATGGGTGTTGGGAAGTGCGTAATGGGAGTGATGAAGGACATAGATAGCCTACCTGTTCAATATCTTGTCGCTGCTGTAAGTGTTGATCGATACAAAGTTCCTGAAAACAAAGGGGGTAAAGGAAGAGAATGTTTCATTCATTTATTTTTGGTTTAAGGAACAAAACGATTTGACATTGCAATCATTATGTATAAAAAAAAAGAGTTTATGTACAATGTTTAACTGTTGCAAAAATCTAGACTTCACCTATACTCCTTTAGAATGGATTAATGACATTATAAACGCAATATCATATTACTCTGTACTAAGGAATGCAACTGCGCACATGCACAGAAAAAGATGTTTTTAATAAAGAATATATGTATAAATATATGACAAACTATATTTAATTAGAATGCTATGCACCCTTATTAGAGTTGTTATGGCTGTACTTTAAGTAAATTAGTTAGAATCCAGTAATACGAACATGCCCATGTCATGGGGAATGTAGAGGCTTTGTTGCTATTTAAACATGTTTTAATTTCCTTTTTTTTATTTTTATTTTTTATTATTGTAATGGAGAGAGGAAATACGAACATTGAATATGTACACAAGCCTTTTATTCAGAATCATTCTAATATGAAGAAATGTATAGACCATTTATCCTGCACACCAGCTCAGATCATTTACAAAAGTTAATAAAGAAAGATGTGACATATTGTGACACTGTGTGCGTGTGTAAGAGAATTTGCCAAATATTTTTGGTATTTATAAATGTAGTTTTAACTTCAAAGGATGAATGAATAGAATATGTAAAGGATGGGTTTAAACTTATTTTCAGCTCCATTTATTGAATTGTTACCACAGTCACACAGAAAATCTTATTGTTGACTAAATTTGTTATTTTGCATAACACATACTATATGAATGCAGTAGCTTAGGGTATCTGCAGGGTTTTTAAAATCAAATTTAAGACCTGCACAAATAAATAATAGCATGAACGAGGTAGGACAATGTCGATTACACCCAAACCATAAAATGACTGTATAAAAAAATATTTCAACAACTTTACAGTTCAAATTATATGTTCTGACAAAAACAAAAAGTTTTATAAACTACTAAACCTCATTTCAGCCTTTAAAACATTTTAAGTAGTCATTGACCAAATTCGTTAACAGATCAAAGCAATCGCTTGGCAGGTAAGTTAACTTATTCATTGTGAATTGCTCTGAAACCGTGAGCCTGTAGAACGAACACGTGCTTTTACTTTGAAACAGCTCTCAGTTTAATCATTACCTTTTGATGTTTAATCATCGCTTTAAGCCATAGGCTATCGCGAATCCTGTTTTTCTGTCCCAAAATTTAAGACCTCTTGAAATGATGATTAAGACTTTTCTTATACCCTTAAGATAATTAAGACTTTTTATGGCCTTAAATTTGATGCGCATGAATTTAAACGGATTTCACCCCAAAATAAAAAATGTGTCAACATTTACACACCCTCATGTTGTTCCAAACCTGTATGAGTTTCTTTGTTCTGTTGAACACAAAAGAAGATATTTTGAAGAATGTTGGTAGTCAAACAGTTGACGGTAACCATTCCATAGTAGGAAAAAACAAAACGGAAGTCAATGGATGCCGTCAAGTCTGGTTACCAACATCAAAATATCTTCTTTTGTGTTCAGCAGAAGAAGAAAAACGAATAGGTTTGGAACAACATGAGGGAGAGTAAGTGATGACAAAAAGTCTGCGGGTACCCCAATTTGTTATTCTGATGCTGTCGTCTTAAAATAAAGATTTTTTTTTAAACTAGGATATCCTGATTTGATAAAGAGAAAATCAATCTGTCGAATGTCTAGACAATCGCATTCTAGTGATCACCTCTGATTGATTTCAGTGGAAATGTTGCAATAAAAAAAAAAAAAAAAAACAATGAATGACAAGTAGTTTTTTTAAATCGGTATAACGGAAGTTTACAGCTCCTGTAAAAATCGGAAAAACTACATTTCCCATCGCTCTCTTGCAGTACTAACGCATACCAGTGGGGGCGCCGTTGCATCGATTCTCCGTTTTAAATAGCCCTTTCCTGCTCATGTTTTGTTGAGTGCGTGGTGTTGTGTGTGCATGAGGGAGTGAGAGAGAAAACGTGGTCGCGGATAAGCCTAGCATTTAGCTAGTTTGCGAGTGTGAGTGTGTGAATGAAGTGTAATACAGGCTCAAATATTTAGTAGTATTTATTTTTGTATGTAGTCAAGTTTGCCACAAACGGACAAGGTAAATAATTAGGGAAACTTGACGTTAAACTGCTGCTAACGTATAAAAAAATGTCCCAGTAAAATTTGTTCTAACTTGTATTATTCATTTACTTTAAGGTGCAAATACACTATTTGATAAAGGCAGCTGGCTGAGTTTGTGGTTGCAATAGTGTTGAAAATGTCCATGAGCAGTCAGAAGACCACCACCAGTCAGGCAATTCCGACCACCAGACGAGTCATAATCAACGATGCGGCCCATATGCCTCATGATTACTCTACAACTCCCGGAGGGACCCTTTTTAGCACGACTCCTGGAGGTAAATGTCACGAACTTGCAGTTTGGAAGCTGTCGCAGTGCAGGCATTGTTTTTGTTTTGATCGCGACATAGCGATGCATATCAGAGCTCGCGCACCGCTCGCATTGTCTTTGTGCTTGACAGACTGCGGTGCGCGTGCTCAAAATGCTTCAGCCTGTTTGTCTTGTATTGTTTGCCTTTTAACTGTAGCCGTGAACAGGTAATAAATGCAGGAATGTTATCGTCACGATAAGAAGAACATTGTTTTATTGACACGACTGCATCTTGCATTTGTCTTTGCAAAACAATGTTCTGCACTCAGGTCTGCTCAGACATTACAATTGCAGAAATATTGTTATTAAAATGTTTAAATATAAAATTGTGAACGTAGAAACACGGGTTGATTAATTTTAAATATTAATTTAAATAATTATAAATTGTCGAAAGGGACCGTAATAAAATAACCTCCCTATTGAAACTTTGTCCGTTTGTCAAATTAAACCGTTTCATTTATGAGTAAACATCATGGCCTTGAACGACCTTCAAGTGGATTTTGGATATGCTGACATGGTGTTTAAGGCTCTTGAACAATTGTGAAAAACTGAAGATTTAAATGCATGTTCTATAATGTCTATATGTGTATAGTTTTTTTGTTGTTGTTGTTTTTAGTTGACAGAGATTGTAAACAGTCCACAAAAGAGGATGTGACAGCACCCGAAGCATGTGACTTTGTTGGTTTCCCAATGTACACCACACTTCTGCTTTTCTAGCTCATAAGGGCAACTGTTCTTAGCATTGTAAACAGTGTATCAATAGCTGCTTGTTTGTCCAGATCATCATTTCAGCCATGATGTAACACTCTATACATCATGGGACAAATTAGGTGTGTGTTATATTGCCCTGGGGAATTTTTGTCATGTGACTTTTTATTGGCTAAATAGTGTGTCATGTTTATCACTTGTGTTTTCATTGGTGTACAAGCTTGATTTCTATGCATAAACCTATGTGTTATGTTTACGGGTGTTTCTGGGTGCTGCTGTAATGCACTCATTAGCACTACCTCACTGAGTGAATGTAGTTCAAGGATGTTTGTGTGTGTGTGTGTGTGTGTGTGTGTGTGTGTGTGTGTGTGTGTGTGTGTGTGTGTGTGTGTGTGTGTGTGTGTGTGTGTGTGTGTGAAGGTTCACAGTAGGTTCAACAGGGCTGATATGAGTAGAGCTGATAGCGTGTTCTCACTGCTCCATTTCAGCCTGTTGTCTTGTGCTTTTCTCTTAACACTATTCTGATTAGGATAAAATGTGAGAAAGCAGTTTGTCAAACATTGATGATTTACAAAGCTCAACCCTTTAATGATGCAACTGTTGAATGTTGTAAAATGCACCGTCATAGGGACATGTTTAGACATGCTGGGATTGAATGCTGCTCGCAACATTAACATGGCACCGCCCAAACGCACATGGCTGGCCTCCATGTTTTCACAGTCTTGTTGGTCAACTCTGCTCTTGTACCCTGATACAGGACCATCGTTTCCTTAACATAGCTTAACCTCAGCTGTATTTTATTTGATTACTAAATTATATATAGGCACCCGGATCATCTATGATCGAAAGTTCCTGCTGGACTGTCGCAGCTCCCCGTTGGCCCGCACACCGCCCTGCTGCCTCCCTGACATTCCGGGGGTAACCAGTCCTCCTTCGGTCACCATTAAAAACGACAAGGCCCACCCCAAACAGACGGTCAATAATAACAGCATCAGCCCCCTAGCGGACAAGAGCGCAGGTAAAAGCAACTTTCAGATGTGCACTGAAGCTAAAAGTTATTAACCCTGTAAAGACTGACATATTAAATAATAATATGAAGAAAAAAAGCGAATTATTTGAAATGGAGCATTTTATTGTACCTTTAGACACAGTCTTTAAAAAAAAACATTTGCGTACTTGCTTTTTGTTGAGTTTCGTAATTGAAACATCAGGTTTTTATGGCTTGTGTAGTAGTGTGATGAATGAAAATATGGACCTCATATTTCAAGTTTCGTTCAGAAGCCCAAACTGCAAAATGCAATTTGGTGTGATTGCTGATGTTTGTATGCTCAAAAAGTGAGATGAAATTCTGATGGTTTGTAATGTTAATTGATGCGCTCTTTATAACAGTATAGCAAACTGCTTATATACAGTACATATAAATATCTTCCAATAATATGATTTTTTTTTTTAAATGATATTTAAATGCTTAGCTTTGATCAAAGCTGTAGCTGTTCAAAGCTGATCAAAACCTATAATGCCATGCCAAGCTATACAATGATAATACAGAAATTGTTCAGTTAAACATTCCTCAAAAGCCTAATGCATCATACTCTCATTTTAACATGACTTTTAAAAAAAAAAAAAAAGGGGGATATTTAAGTAAACCTAAGTTTCTTTAGTCCAGTAAGTGTTCATTTTGAAATATTACGAACAATATAAAAGTTATTCTTGCATTTACTTCATAAAAATCATTAAAGATTTCACAGCAAAAAAAGATGTGTACCACAGCCTAAAAGTGGAGTTTTATTACTATACTACAAGGCATTTTGCTTTCTAAAAAAGTATAAACTATCAGACGAAAGAAATCATGTGGTAGATTGTGTACAGCAGGTTTTCAGCAAAGTTTTGATCATGTTGACAATTTAGAGGACTTGTGAAATTCTCTATAAAATATGATACAGTAGGCTTTATAGGATTACATATGTTCAATAAATATTAATTTTGTTCTGTGGTTTCAAGGGGAGGATGCCCAGTTTGAAATGGATATCTAACTACAATAGAGGACCTGCCACACGAAGGAGGCGACGACTGTAATGAATATTACTGTGATGACAACTGTTCCCTGAGAGGATAAATGCACAGAAGACTTCTCCTTCCATGTCATCTGTCTTTCTTTTTCTTTCATTTATCTACTGTCCAAATGATATTTTCCTTTTCTGTACGGATGCTGTCGCTCAAGACGCGCACAAAGCCATTACTTTAGATTCTCAACATCAGCTAACACTGTTGTGCCTGAAAGAGCCACTATCTCAGATGTCAGATAGTGCATCCCAAGCGCTATACATCTGCCTAAGACATGGGGGACATTCAACTGGCCACCATGTGACATTGTTTATTTGATACAGATTTGTTTGTGTAGTTTTGCAGAATGATCAGTAGGGGGAGCAACACCTCTTGGTGGTTGTCTCAACAAAAGTCATGTGGAGGAAAATCCAGATTGCCAACTCCTATAAATTTACCTGAATTTGACCACTTTCCATCTGGCATTGATACTTTCTGTAATGGTAAAATCTAATTTTTGTTTATCCTGAAGAGTATTCTCACCTAAAGTGTCATTCAACAGAATGTAAAATGCCTTCTTTTTTTTTTGGGTTGTGAAGTTATCTTAGCTTCCCTGATATTACGTAAGAGACATTTAAGCATAAAAAAAAATCAATAAACACCAGAGAATTTACGTGTGTGTGGCTTATTCATTTGCTGCTGATGATTTTCAAACTCATAAGACACAATGCATAACCATTATGAAAACATTTTATTACAGTGGGTAATTTACATACTCTACTATTTACAAATTAGGTAAACACACAAAGCTTTCAAAAAATAGCATCAAGTAATCCAGGTGCCTCAGTGCAGGATACCTCAATTATTTCAAGTGAAAATACTGTGCAAATGAAAACAATTTAGATTCATTCGTGCTTAAATATGTTTTTCCGGGTTTGAGGAGCATATCCAAAGTGCTAGTGTTGAGTTCATTTGGGATTTGGAGACTCAGTGGCAGCCACATTCTCCTACAACCATCCCTTCATGGTGTCTCATGACCATCTTGCCGTTCTCATAGTAGAGCATGGAGAGAGGAGCCAGACGGGTGGGTACGCAGGACAAGCATGGGACGCGGTCTGAGTGGTGCAGCTTCAAAAGACTCTGCAAATGACAAGACAACAAACATTAGAGTCAGTCTAGCAAACAGAAAACATTTTAAAGTAATTATCACAACTATATCAAAGGTTTAAAAAGACTCTTACCTGCATGTAGGCATGGTTGGTTGGAGTAAAGGTCTCATCAACGGGTGTAGGGCAGTTACCTTCACATCGAAAGGCATTGTAGCGCTTTGGATAAACGATCCAGTCGCTCCAGCCTATCTGATCGAAGTCCACCCACATATCTACCTTCTTGCAGAGAGGTTTCTTCTCCCCTTCTTGCGAAACACCTGGAATCATGCTAGCAGCTGCGTCTCGCACTCTGTCGTCAGTCCTGTGGTTCCTCCTGTGACGCCGAGGCACAGGTTCACTTCCACCACCGGCCCGGTCCAGAGCGACATACTTGGAGTGCTCCGCAGTCTGGATGAGGGTGGACGTCTTTGCCTGGTTCTGCTTGGAGTAAACCACCATCATGACCCTGTTGGCTGTAAGATGCTGGAAACTCTCGTGCCCCTCTTTCTCAGCAGTCGAAGACATCTGGACGGATTCCTCCAAGGAAACGCTCTCACCCTGGTGCAACCAGTACTTGAGCAGCGCTGTGATGTTGAAGATCCTCCAGGAGGAATGGGAGGTTGGGTCACTTGGGTTGGCTTTCACACTGCCCAGGTGAAGGCGTACTTCGTCACAGGGGCTTCTGTCACACTCTCGTTTGGATTCATGATAGATATCCACCGCAATCTCAGAGGTGAATTCTGGAAGGCGAATGCGAAGTTCAGACCGCTGGACGTCGTCGCTTGCTGATATGGAGGACATGTCAAATGTCACGGCTAATTTGTCACCAACCTGATAGCAACCTGAAAAATATTTGGACAAGAAATTAGTTACTGGTCGAGGGACAGTTAGTTAAGCGGTCTAGAAAGGATAAGTGTGGTGCTTAATTATCTTAAAGGATGTTTTCACACATGGGTATATTCGGGACAAGCAATTAATAAAGTAGAATGTTCTTATTGTTGAGATGTGTATTGCTGCCCAAGCCACTTTGAAACAGACGTCTTGCAGCTAATACACACGCTAACTAATAAACATAATACGTGACTTGGCTATAGCTTAGAACCAGCTAAACTACTACCTATCAAATTATTTTCCCCGGGGGTCTTGTATCAACCTGAAGAGATTTGTTTTGCGATAATGACCGACGGCTGACTTTACATAAAGCCGCATACACGGCTACTTATGAAATAAATGTGCATATTGTTTTAAATTTTTTTTTTTTTTACTGCTATTACACTTGTTCTGTAGGAAGCATTTAAAGATTTTCCGTTTGGCGATACGTTAAATGTTTGACCGCCGAATGCAGCGATTGATCGTGCAATAAAATACCTGTCGCTATTAGGCTACATCTTTGTTTATAGAAAATATTTTTTTCAATTTAGTATGTATATAGGCCTATTTATTATCATCAGAAACATCTAAAAATTAGGAAAAAATATCGGCATAGGCTATAGCCTATTGTAAAACGACGTATAATGTAATGTTTAAAATTCATTTAAAGATTAAAAAAATGTAGGCTACTCACTTTTGGCGAAGAGACTCAAGACAGAATCGGACTCGTAAAGAGTTGGGTTTTCGTGGCTGGTTTGTTTGTCGTCTCCGGTCAGAAAGGTCCGGTAGAGGTGCATCATGTAGAGCGGATACCTGCTGGTGTGTCGGCTCTGACCCGCCTGACCTCCGCCGCTCTTCCCAGGTGCTCGCATCCTATTCCTCAACGCATCGTGGAATCCGGGAAAGGACACCGTGGAGTTCACCAGCGCGAGAACTGCGCTCAGGACCCCGCAGATAAACCACATGTCAAATCTAGGTTAAGATCCACCACGCAGAGGAATAGCCTGTCTCTGAGATCCTGCTCCTTCACCGTCCCCTGGAAAGTGAGTGTCATGAGTGCTGCCTGGCCATCTTAATTCACTTATAGAAACTTGAAGTCTTTTGATGGTCTGTGAGGTCCTTTGGGTCTTTGAAGTGTCCTTGTGATCCATAAAGGGATACATGTCCCTGGGTCGTCGTGTATCGAAACCAGCAGTCTTTTGTGCGTCGAAGGGTGTGAAAACATTAATTCTTCTCCTCGAGCGCTGTGTATTGAAGGTCCTTTTGAAAGTGTACTTAAACAATAATATTAGTGGACTACATTTGTTCATCAATGTCCATTTGATTAAAAGGAGAAAAACACCCCTAATGCTGGATTATTTCTTAGTTTGATTGAAAATAGAGGAAGTAATGTCGTTTCTATGCCTTTCCATATCAGAAGACCATAAATAGTAATTAGCCTATGTCATTGGAAATCTCCACATTATAACAGCAACATTGTTATATTCATGATATAGCCTACCGCATCATTTGGCTGCTTGACTTTACCTAGAATGTTATGATGATGATACAATATTCTTGTAGATGTTTGTTACCGAGTCCAGCTATAGTGTGGTCAAAATACAATATTTTAGCCTATAGGCTATCTTTTTATATAGCCTATAGGCTTTATATAAAATTTGAATTTTTTTTTTTTTTTTGTATTCATAGACATAGCCATTCGTGACCTTATAGCCATATATGACCAATGAAATGTTAAATGCATTACCTCCCCGGTCGAAAAGAAGCAACTTAATCTGATTCTGAACCGAAAATTCCCAGCCATTAAGGTCCTATTTTTATGCATAGATTTGAGAAGCACAGAACCCCACAGACAATTTCTTTCTTTCTTTCTTTCTTTCTTTCTTTCTTTCTTTCTTTCTTTCTTTCTTTCTTTCTTTCTTTCTTTCTTTCTTTCTTTCTTTCTTTCTTTCTTTCTTTCTTTCCACATGTATTGAAGCATCTTATACAACAGGGGGCGCTGCCTTCAAAGTTTCACCTTTTGCTACCTTCCTTGACTTTCGAAAATGATTTGCCAAATCGTTAACAAAGTGATAAAGCTCAAAGATTATCTCTGTAGGCTACTAAAATATAGACTGTTCATCCTTGCGTCACTTATTTCTCCTGACACTGCCCGTGTGATGTGTTGACAAGCTTTGTGCTGATTCTGATTTGCGCACACACACACACACACACACACACACACACACACACACACACACACACACACATATTATTTCTCGTCACAGAATTGAAGCAGACCAGCTGTGAATGTCAGTGGCAATCTCACACATAGTAACACTGATAATAAGCAAGACAGAAATTGGCACTGAGCCTTCCTCCCACATACTTAGCCATTTGATGCTAATAAGTGTCAGATCTTATAAATTCATTGTCCTATAGCATTATAAATTTTGTGAAATTGTAGTACATTTTTTGTGTATATTCATTCATGTGTCTGTCTGTCTATAGCTTTCTAGCTGTCTATTGCTCCTTTTCTGCCATGCATTTGAACCTTAAGATAATCCATCCATCCATATCTGTCAAGCTTTCTAGCTGACTCCGTCTGTCTATCTATCCATTTGTCTGTCTTTCTGTCTGTCTGTCTGTCTAGGTAGCTTTTTAGTGATCTACTGCTGATTTTGGCCATATATCAAGATCAGTGTATTTGCTATTGATTGCTTGTGTGCGTGTGGTATAATATGGTAGAACTATAGGTGATGCTGACCTGTTGTGACAGACATGCCTTGCTTTGGGCAGACGGCCTAATTAATCGCCAGAGACCCTGATTGCTGTGAATCGGTTTGCAAAACAGAGACCTCAGGACTCTCCGGTATAGGGGAAAAAAAGGGAGCATCGAGAAGGAAAACAGAATCAAGCCCTTTGTGTGGCGTTGGAAGAAAAGTGCACACTTGCGTTAGGGATGGCAACAAAAAACAAAAAGGCCATGAAATATGAAAGGGCCTGCCTTTGTGTCATTTGAATAATGGGGATAATTACCCTCTGTCCAGCGAAGCACCTGCATTTGAAATAAGCCTTTGATACCAACTTAAATCCAGTGAGATGGTGCTATTTGATTAAGGTTCAGGCAGATGCTGTCTCTGTCTTTACAGCAGCTGGAGAGATCACTCTGTCAACAGACTGACTGCACACCTTTGAATGCATATACCATGATAAATAGATTTGCATCACAAAAACAGCATGGTGACGGTTGGTGTAACTAATGCTTTGCTGCAAACAACATTGTTTTGGTTTAATAAACACCTCATTATCGAAGAGCAGATATGAGTCTTTATTATTATTATTTACTAATTCTAGCCAGACCTGACACTTTCAAAGCTGGCTGGATGTCATGCGTCTCACATATCTCAGTATAGGAGATAAACAGATAGTCTTTAAGCACCTTCAAAGCTA